GACCACACTGCCTCTCATTACTCTTCTGAGCTAACATCCACAAGGGATGGCAGAGGGAGGAATCCAGTGGTCCACATTTTCGTGCGAGCCTACCCAATTTGCACTTGCTGAAGCAAAGTGAGCAAAAAACCAAATTCTGCCCCAACAGAATTCTGGAATAATACACAAACTGAAACACGTGGATCCTTTGAAATTTACACCTCTCTGAATTCTGCAACGCAGTTCTCCAGCCATGTGTACGAAACAAAACAAATTAAACATTGTACACGAGGTTAAAGAGTGCATAAAAATCACATATTGTGTTATTTAAAAGAACACAGTGAAAATGCATTATATTAGGCGGAATTGCATTGAAAATGCGTATATTTGGCGAAAGTGCGTATAAAATGATGTCTGCCTTGGAGAAACACGCACTAACATGCTGAAGAATTTTGACAAATTCTTTCGATTACTTTTTTCTTTTTTTAATAAAAAAGATTGCAAACCGGTGTATATATGTGGAGTAGTGAACTCAAGATTGGAAAGATGACAAACTTGGAAATCACTTAATCACTGTTGTTAAGCAATGAGAGGAAGGAACTTTAGCATCCCCACCTTGGACTTGGAAGGCAGGCCTCCGAGAGCAGTATTAAAAAAAAACAGGAAAAGCTGGATGGAGGAGGATACTGGGGGACATTTCTTACAGCATTTCCCTTATGTCCACATGATTTCATTCACTCCCCAAATGTGTTGCCTTTACAGAATAAAGCACTGGAAGTAACCAACAAAGGACATCACCTTGCCAACAAAGGTCCGTATAGTTAAAGCTATGGTTTTCCCAGTAGTGATGTATGGAAGTGAGAGCTGGACCATAAAGAAGGCTGATCGCCGAAGAATAGATGCTTTTGAATTATGGTCCGGAGGAGACTCTTGAGAGTCCCATGGACTGCAAGAAGATCAAACCTATCCATTCTGAAGGAAATCAGCCCTGAGTGCTCACTGGAAGGACAGATCCTGAAGCTGAGGCTCCAATACTTTGGTCACCTCATGAGAAGAGAAGACCCTGATGTTGGGAAAGATGGAGGGCACAAGGAGAAGGGGACGACAGAGGACGAGATGGTTGGACAGTGTTCTCCGAAGCTACCAACGTGAGTCTGACCAAACTGCGGGAGGCAGTGGAAGACAGGAGTGCCTGGCGTGCTCTGGTCCATGGGGTCACGAAGAGTCGGACACGACTAAATGACTAAACAACAACAACAAATTCTCTCGAAACAAATGAGGTTTCATTTTTACTTCTGCAGAGGGGGAAAGTGATATTGCAGTGACACATACCCATTTTCCATGTCCCACATGCTACAGTTTTGTCATCGCTGGTCTACTATTTATTAATATACTGTTAATCCCAGGAAATCCTGTTGGCACCTGTGCTTGCGGGACTTCAAATGTCACTTTATCTCTAAGAGCTCACAATTGCTCACTTGTCACTGCTTACCATACGCCAGTGTTCTTTACCAAAAGGAATCTGAATTGGTTTACTTTGCAGTACTTACGCATTGTGTACCTACCTTGTGCTACAGTGTCAAGTCTTTTTTTGAAAGCGGACTTCCGGAGGCGGCGCGAAACGGCAATGGCGGTCCTCTTCGGTCTCTGAAGAGGGGCTCCGCAGGAAAGGGTCGTCCGCTGCGGCACAGCGGTGACCCATTAAGAAAAACCACGGGCAGAGTGAGCCCGTGGCCGTGGGACTCGGCGGGCACCAGGAGCGACCCCAGAAGCGACGAAGGAACCCCGGCAGGGGCTCCGGAAACGTGGAAGGGGAGCGGTGCTGTGAGTTCATCGCTCTTTCTGCGGGAGCGAAGCCGCGCAGCTGCTGCTGATGAGCGCCGACCTTTCTTCTTGGAACATCAGGCACTAAACTACCTACTCGTGAGTAAGGATCAATCATTTTGGAACCAAAAGGGTTAAATTTGGCTGAAAGCGGGAGACGATAAACAGGAAGTCCGTCTTCCGGCAGTGCTTTAAAGATCAAAGGCAAAGATTTTAATAAGCGGGAAGCAGCTTTAAAAGATTTTAAATTTGGGACTATCGTGTTGACAGAATTGGCTTTTAAAAAGAAGGAGAAGGGACTTTTATTTCAAAGTGTTTTGGATTTCAAATGGGACTTTCCTCCCCTTTATGGATTATAAAGAATTAAGAACCAAACCTCGGACTGACAGGAGAAAAAGAGAGCTGTCATTGCGGAAACTGTATTCAAAATAGAGACTGTTACAGTTGAGTGATACTGGCAAGATACAATTAAATAAACTGTTATTGGCACCTTTTATTTGAGACTTTGTAGCAGCTTGGGAAGTGCTCTGCAAGCCAAAAAAGTTTATGAAGGACTTTTGGTAAAGTAGACTGTTTTGGGGCTGCAGGGACTTTAATGGCGGATAAATTTCTTTCCTTTCTATGAACTACAGTAATACTCCCCCTAGTGGAGTTCTGGAATTACAAGTGCCTGGGAACAAATTTTATTTGGACTATCTGCTGCTTTATTATTTACACTTTGGAACTGTCCTTCCCATGGGACATTATATAATTTGACCTTGACTCATAGACAGGTGTGGAATGAGTGGCCAACCGAAAACAAGATCTGCTAAAACGAAAGCAAGACAAGCCCAACTTGTGCAAACAACTTTGACTACTCAGTCACGTAGATCATCTGTCCCAGCTGTTTTGGGAGTACAAGAAAAGGAAACTGCACGGCCTGCATCAGAGGATATGGCGGTGGGAGGATCGGATACCTTCTTAAAACAAATGCTAGAACAATTTGCAATATTGAACAAGAAGGTGGATGACCAATCGGCAAAAATAGACCAAGCCACATCCTCTATTACTAAACTATCTGACCAAGTTGCACAACATACACAAGTTATTGGGAATCTCAAAGGAAGCAACTGTGGAAAATCGGAGACTGGCTGAAGCAGCCAATGAAAAAGCAGAACAAGCAAATCAAAAAGCTGAGGCTATAAAAGAAGAGGTAAGGCCACTACACAAGCACGTTAGCGACCAGCAGGCCTACCTGTCTATGGTGGAATTGAGAAACCGGGAAAATAACCTGAGATTAAGAGCTATCCCAGAGCTTGAACAGGAAGATTTAATTGGTTATCTGACAGCAGAATTTTCTAAGTTCTGGGGTATAGAAGAAGACAAAGATTTTAAGATTACAACTGCGTTCAGATTAGGAAGAGTCGTGAGGAGGGACAAGCCCAGAGACTGTTTGATTATTTTGAGATCCAAGCAGGAGAGAGATAAAATACTAGGCCTCCACTTTAAGAAATCACTTGATATCCAAGGCAAAAGAGCAGAACTTTATAGAGATATTCCTAAACAACTTTTGGATCTCAGAGCTACATATACAGACTTAGCAAGACTACTGAGAGGAAACGCGATTCCATATAGGTGGGAGTTTCCCCAAGGTTTATCTTTTAATTTTAAAGGAAAGAAAATTAAGATTAAAACATCAGAAGATAACCAGAAGTTCCTGCACGATCATGGAGAAGACCTTCAGAAGGGAGCAGCAGTCTCCTGGCCACCGCCACTGCCGGGAATAGCACCGATACCTACACCCTCGGGGCCAGAAGAAAAGGAAGACACCCCACTATAGGAACAACAGATTGATTCAGAATGTCTCTGCAGCTGTACAGTTGGAATATAAATGGCGGGAATTCCCCGGAAAAAAGACGAAGGATTTTTCATATTTTGAAAAAGAACAATTGGATATTGTTTGCTTGCAGGAAACGCATGTGACTAGGCTCCATAGGAAAGTGTTAATCAATAAAAGACTAGGCCAAGAATTTATTTCATCAGACAAAGTCAAGAAAAGAGGCGTAGTGATTTATGCAAAGGAGAACCTGTCACCGAAACTTCTGTTTAAAGATGAGCAAGGAAGAATTTTGGCAATTGAGATACAAACACAAGGAGAAAAGTTTTTGATTTTAGGAATATATGCACCAAATGAGGGAAATCGGAATTTTACAAGAAGCTGCATGAGATAATGCTGGACTATCTGGACTATACTAACATCATAATGATGGGTGATATGAATGGGGTGGTTTCTACTCACATGGATAAGTCACAAAATCAAAATTTAACTAAAGACGGCAGACTACCTAAAACCTTCTTTGAACTAACTGACAACATGGACTTGATTGATATTTGGAGGACAAGGAACCCCTTAGGTAAAGAAGGAACATTCTTTTCTGAGGCCCACCTATCATGGACAAGAATCGACCAAATATGGACAACTAGAGGACTGGCACCTAAGATCAGAAAAGTGGAAATCTGTCCAAAGACTTGCTCCGACCATAATGCTTTGAAAGTGGAATTGAGACTTACTCCAACCGGTTCTTTCAGATGGAAAATGAATGACACCCTACTAAGAGATCAGGAGACTGTGAAGAAGGCCCAAAAACTTTAAAGGACTATTTTGAAATCAATTTGAACACTTCGGTGGAAAAGAGAACAATTTGGGATGCAAGTAAAGCTGTAATGAGGGGTTTCTGATACAACAGAACACAATCAAGAAAAACTTTGGAATGGAAAAAAGACAGGATATTAGAGAAGATAAGAGAAGGAGAGAAAAATTGAGACTAAAACCAAAATCAAAAGAGGTTTTAAGAGAAATCAAATTCCACCAAGCTCAATATGCGAAATTGATAAATCAAGAAGTGGAATGGAAAATTAAACAAATGAAACAAAGATCATTTGAATCGGCAAATAAATGTGGAAAACTGCTAGCATGGCAGTTGAAAAAGAGACAAAAATTGAACTTTGTCACTAATCTAGAGGTGGAAGGGAGAAACATTCAGAAACCAGAAGAAATTAGAAAGTGTTTTCAGAAATATTTCAAAAACTTTATACACAAGGGCCTCACAAATTTAAAAGTTATTAGGTCAAGAAAGCAAAGAGGGAACAGGTGGTTGAAACGCCAAGAAAATCAACACATACTCCTGGCCAAAAAAAGAGGAAAAAAGCGAGGGAAGGAAGCAAAACAGAGAATAGATCACACATAGAATGGAGAATGGCTGATGTGTGAGAAATAAAATGCTTTAGTCCAGTGGCAGAACATCTGAATTGAGTGCAGAAGGTTCTCCCAGCTTTGGTTTCCAGCATTTCCAGTTAGGATTCTATACTACTCTGTTCTGCCTTAGTCAGGCCACACCTGGAATACTGGGTCCAGTTCTGGGTACCACAATTTAAGAAGGATGTTGACAAGCTGGAATGTGTGCAGAGGAGGACAACCAAGATGATCAAAGGTCTGGAAACCAAGCCTTATGAGGAACGGTTGAAGGAGCTGGGTAAGTTTAGCCTGGAAAAGAGGAGAAGACTGAGAGGAAGAATTATAGCCATCTTCAAATATCTTAAGGGCTGTCACATGGAAGATGGAGCAAGCTTGTTTTCTTCTGCTTTGGAGGGTAGTACATTTCTGAGCACAATTCAAAATGTTGGTGTTGACATTTAAAGCTCTAAACGGCCTTGGCCCAGTATACCTGAAGGAGTGTCTCCACCCCATCATTCAGCCCGGATGCTGAGGTCCAGCGCCGAGGGCCTTCTGGTGGTTCCCTCGCTGCGAGAAGCAAAGCTACAGGGAACCAGGCAGAGGGCCTTCTCGGTAGTGGTGCCCGCCCTGTGGAACGCCCTCCCACCAGATGTCAAAGAGATAAACAACTACCTGACATTTAGAAGACATCTGAAGGCAGCCCTGTTCAGGGAAGTTTTTAATGTGTGACATTTTAATGTATTTTTAATCTTTGTTGGAAGCCACCCACAGTGGCTGGAGAGGCCCGGCCACATGGGCGGGGTACAAATAATAAATTATTATTATTATTATTATTATTATTATTATTATTATAGTAGGACTTGAACCAATGGATTCCTGGCAGTAAGAGCTGCTCGTGGAACAAACTCCCACGAGAGGTGGTGGACTCTCCTTCATGGGAGGTTTTTAAGCAGAGGTTGGATGTACCACTGCAAAAGAGGTCCCTGTCTGAAACCCCGGAAAGCCACTTTCAATCAATGCTGACCATATTGAGCCAATGGACTGACTCGATATATAAGGCAGCTTTGGATATTTCTGAAGTTGATTTGAGCATTTGCTACTGATGCGAAGGCCCTTGTTGAGAGCTGAGCTGGGCTTCCTTCTGGGCAGCTGCAATAATGCTTCCTCATTCTAATATAAGCACAACTCAGTTTGTTTAACATTTGCAAGGGCAGCCGCACAAGCTGTGGGGCTGGGAGGTGTTTGTTTGGCTTGTGACTCAGAGAGACAGAGAGGCTGGGTTTGGCAATGGATTTAACCTTCTATTTCACTGGATTTGTGGCTTAGTCATAAAGTTGTCCAGCCCCTCCCTTCTCCCTCGCTTTACTCTCCCACTCTCAGATAACTGTGCTCCGTTTGGCAACAACTGCCAAGGAAGAAAGACACCTGCAGGGCCTTTGCATAGGAGACTCCAGACTGAGGGGACGGAACAGCAAGGACCCAGAAAAGCAGGTAGAATTCTGGGTGGTTGGGCAAAATAATGTTTGGCACATGGCTCTATGCCAGTTCAAACTTACTGATTTCCCCTGGGTGCTCTCTGCTTTAATCTAAGGGCATTGATCCCCACATGCATGTGATATTTGACAGCATTTTGCTTTTGAGGCAATATCAGTTCTCCATTTCGATGTCTGATCCGCGATTGGCTGTTTCTCACATGCAAGGTATGGTCTGTGGCTGCGGGCGCTGAGCACGGCAAAGGGTTTGCCAACCTTTCAACCAGCCTGTGTTGCTGCGCCACGATTTGCAGCGGAGGGATAACATTTATCTATGTGCTGAGGATATGTTCACCTGCTGACTCCTGCCTAACAAGCTGCTATTAAGAGCAGGGCTGCACAGGGACCGGTTTGAACTCAGTTCACGGAGGGCTCAAGAGAGTTGCCACATGATCTGGAAAAAGAACCCTGCCTGCTTCTATGCCTTTAACAGCAACTTGGCAAACATCGTCACCGGCTGATGTCCACAGATCAAGCTAACAGCTTAGGAGCCTTTAGGCTACAGCAGCGGTGGACAACCTGTGACCCATGAGCCTAATTTCATGGGACTTTTCCATACAGGTAGCCCTGAGGAGGAAAATTAAGATCATCACCACCTTTTCCATCTCTCTCTCCCCCCTACCCTCTATTTGAGATCTTTAAAAGGGAGCAAAGGGAGAACCCAGCGCAGAATGATGTTTTTATCTTAAGAGAGACTTTGAGAGAATGTGTGGAATGGCTTTCACCCCACCTCCAACACCGGCATGTGCCCCCAAGGGCATTCAGACCTTGAAGGCGGGGGGGGGGGGAGGATGGGACAAGGTTGCCCATTCCTGGACTCCTGCATTTTTTACAGGTCCAACCTCTGTTGCTGAGGCTTCAGAACTTGTTTTTGTCTGAATGAAAGTCCTGTAAAAGTCAAAAGAAGGGACACAGGTGGTGCTGTGGTCTAAACCACTGAGCCTCTTGAGCTTGCCAATCAGAAGGTTGGCGGTTCGAATCCCCGTGACGGGGTGAGCTCCCGTTGCTCAGTCCCAGCTCCTGCCAACCTAGCAGTTCGAAAGCACGCCAAAAAGTGCAAGTAGATAAATAGGTACCGCTCCGGCGGGAAGGTAAATGGCATTTCTGTGAGCTGCTTTGGTTTCGGTGTTCCATTGCGCCAGACGCAACTTAGTCAAGCTGGCCACATGACCCAGAAAAACTGTCTACGGACAAACGCCAGCTCCCTCGGTCTGTAAAGCGAGATGAGCGCCGCAACCCCAGAGTCACCTGCGACTGGACCTAACGGTCAGGGGTCCTTTACCTTTACCTTTTTACCTTTAAAAGTCAAAAGCAAGGAACGCTCCCCTCAGAAGCAGAACAGCTGTGCTACTTTGAGCAAAAGCCAGAAGAGATTTATTTAAACTTGTGTAACTGTAAATGATAGATGTCCTTTGCTCCATTTCCCCCCTAAACTACTGTGAATAATCTTCATGTTTTGAAGATCGCTTAGTCTCTCAGATGTAAGGATTGCTGCTGTTGAACATTATTAGTGCCTTCCTTTCCCACAGCCTTTTGGTGTCCCTGAGGCAAGGCCGGCCGGCTGGCTTATAAGGCTTAGTGAGGCAATTGCCTCAGGTGGCAGGCCGGGGACAGCAGGGAGGAGGAGAGGGCCACCTGCCACATCCTGCGCTTGGTGTGCCAGTGTGGTGTAGTGGTTAAGAGCGGTAGTCTCGTAATCTGGTGAACCGGGTTCGCGTCTCCACTCCTCCACATGCAGCTGCTGGGTGACCTTGGGCTAGTCACACTTCTCTGAAGTCTCTCAGCCCCACTCACCTCACAGAGTGTTTGTTGTGGGGGAGGAAGGGAAAGGAGAATGTTAGCTCCTTTGAGACTCCTTAGGGTAGTGATAAAGTGGGATATCAAATCCAAACTCCTCTTCTTCTTCTTCTTCGCACCTGCACCCGCCGCCTCCTCTGCTGCCGCCACCCCCAGCACTGACCCCCATCACCGCCAGCTCCTCTCCAGCCTTCTTTCTTCTCTCTGACACCGTCAGCACGCCAGGACCTCCCCAGGTTACCTCCAGTCGCCACAGGTCACAGTGGATAAGGAGGTGGAAGGGCGGGGGACACCTTTTTCTGTTTTGCCTCAAGCGGCAAAATGTCATGGGCTGGCCCTGCCCTGGGGCTTCTGCTTTATTTCTTAGCTACAGAGCAACCTTATTATCAATAAGGAGGAGGCTGTAGCTTTTCTGGGCTATAGTTGAGTTGCTCCTCAAGTGAAAATTCCTGTTCTCTCCTCCCCACCCCACTTCCTCCCTCTGTGAATGCATTTGCACATAACAGGTTGTTTAAAAATGGTGTGTGTGTGTGTGTGTGTGTGTGTGTGTGTGTGCGTGCATGTGTGTGTGTGTGTTTTATGCGATCTGTAAGCCACTCCTTTTTTTCCTGTTACTGTAAAGTATTGCATTATTAGAAAACATTCCATTTGCTGAAGCAGGCATATCCCTCGTGTGCTACGAAATACATCTGTAAAAGGACAATAACTGCAGCAGGCCAGGAGGGTTCTCTTTTTATTGGATTCTTTCATAATGAACAATGGGCGTTAAATCCATTCCACTGTGAAAAGGTCCCTCTGCCATAGGAGAAGCCCCAGGACCCAGCGGAACAGAGCCATGCTGTATACACAACCCCACTGGTGTTTGCAACACAGCTAAGATTGTTGCCAGGCCTCCTTGAGGTGGACAGAGGCTCCTAAGCCTTTGACAAAGCGATGAGAAATCAACAGACAATGCGTTTGACAGGAAGCATGATGGTCCAGTGCTATAAGAAGATATACAAAGCTTAAAGGTAAAGGTAAAGGGACCGCTGACCACTAGGTCCAGTCGTGACTGACTCTGGGGTTGCGGCGCTCGTCTCGCTTTATTGACCGAGGGAGCCGGCGTACAACTTCTGTGGCCAGCATGACTAAGCCGCTTCTGGCGAACCAGAGCAGCGCACAGAAACGCTGTTTACCTTCCCACCGGAGCGGTACCTATTTATCTACTTGCACTTTGATGTGCTTTCGAACTGCTAGGTTGGCAGGAGCAGGGACCGAGCAACAGGAGCTCACCCCGTTGTGCGGATTCAAACCACCGACCTTCTGATTGGCAAGTCCTAGGCTCTGTGGTTTAACCCACAGCGCCACCCGCGTCCCTGCATATCTTACTTACCATAACTTACTTACCAAAGCTTACTCCATATCAAATCTTCCATACAGCTGCAATAGGAAGGAAGCCTCTAAAGCAGCCTTTCTCAACCTGTGGGACCCCAGATGTTGTTGAACTACAACTCCCATCACCATCAAACAACATCTGACAACATCTGGGGACCCATCAAACAACATCTGGGGACCCACAGGTTGAAAACTGCTGCTCTAAAGGAACATGATCTCTCATGCTGAGTCAGACCATTGATCCATCTAGCCAAATATTGTCTTCCCCAGCCCTGTGTCTTCCAGATGTTTCCCACTACAATTCCCATAATCCCCCACATCATTGGTTATGCTGACTGGGGCAGATGGAAGTTGTAATCCGACAACCTCTAGTAAGCACCAGGTTGAGGTAGGCTTGTCTATTCTGACTGCCCCCAAGGACATAATAAGAGACCTGCTAGATTGGGGCAAACATCCTGTGGCCAGCTAGATTCTTACAGGAAGCTCCCAACTACAGCTTGGGTGCAAAAGCTCTCTGCTGCTGTTCTTCACCAGGGACATGATTTCAGAAGATCCTGGGTGGTAATGTGTAGACATTGTGATGACTAGGAGGCATAGCCTTATCGTCTGTGAATTTGTCTGATCCTTCTTTAAAGCTGTTTGAATTGTTGCCCATCACCACCTTTTATAGCAGAAAATTCCACAGTGAGACTTTGCATTGCACAAAGAGGTATTCCTCTTGCCTGCTCTGAATCTTCTACCATGAGGTGTGGTGTAGTGGTTAAGAGCGGTAATCTCGTAATCTGGGGAACCAGGTTCGCGTCTCCACTCCTCCACATGCAGCTGCTGGGTGACCTTGGGCCAGTCACACTTCTTTGAAGTCTCTCAGCCCCACTCACCTCACAGAGTGTTTGTTGTGGGGGAGGAAGGGAAAGGAGAATGTTAGCCGCTTTGAGACTCCTTAAAGGGAGTGAAAGGCGGGATATCAAATCCAAACTCTTCTTCTTCTTCATTCCACTTCGCTGGGTTCCTGGTACGGGTCTTTCCCATCAACATGGTACCTAAGCATTTGCTGCTGGTGAACTTGGATTTAAACCACAGGAACTGGACATTTCCCCCTTCCTTTATTACTCATTTGAGGTTTAGCTTTGCTAAGCTGGTATGGCCATGCCTTGGCTCCACTGTTCTGCAAGCACCTCTCCTAATTAATGGCTGTTCAGCCAGCTTCAAAGAGATTCCAGGATAGCTGTTCCTTGTTTGAAGAGCCCCGTTAGCTTAATTGACTGTCCTTGGGCTTTGGGTGAGGGGAACCACAACTGATGTGAAAGCCAAAGGCATCCCATTAAAATCCTGATGGGAGGTTGGATTTCTGTAGGAAATTGGCTTACATCTTGCATCCTGAAAAAATTAAATCACCAATTTAAACTGGGCACTTGAGATAAGTAGCTGTTAGTGGATGACACTTGCACCATCCAATCCCTCATACTATTTTTTAAATAATAATAATAGTAATAGTTATAGTAGTAGTAATAATAATAATAATAATATCATCAATGGAGTTTAAAATAAAGGAAAACTTTGTCTTCTTGTTTGGGGGCCTGCTGTCTATATGGACCATTTATGTGCTGTGTCTGTGATGGAGGAAAGACTGTGAGCTTAATAGACCAGCAGATGAAGAACATAAATCTTTCCTCATTTTGAGTTGCTCCAGCTCCTTGACCATTTTGATTGCTGTTTATGGGAACATTTCTAGCCCTTTGTTAGGTGAGGCAACCAGGACTGTACACAATACAGTGGTACCTCCGGTTGCGGGCAGGATCCGTTCCAGAGCTCCAGTCGGATCCCGAGGTTTCCGCAACCAGTGGGACTGCTTCTGCACATGCGTAGAGTGCTTCTGCGCATGTGCGTGGGGCGAAACCCGGGAAAAATACTTCCAGGTTTGCCGCATACGTATCCCGAAGGATACGTAACCAGAGGTGAACAGAACTAGAGGTACCACTGTACTCCAAAACTGGCTGTGCCATACATACCAATCATGATATTGGAATCTGTCCTTTTCACAGCAGCTAGTATCTAAATACTCTTAGATTCTGACAGTGTGGCGCAGGTTTAGGTGCCTGTTACTTATTCTTGCCTCTTATCTCTGTTTGTATCTGTTCCAAATAACTAGGCGGCTGCGATATGATACCTAAGAGAAATGATTTGTGCGCTGGGATATACCAGCTTTGACTCATGTCTCATCCATGAATCTCCTAGATGGTTTTAGTCAAGGTGGGAGGGACACAACTCCTAGGATATAGTCCAAGGCAGGGATGTGGAACCTGTGGTCCTTCAGAGGCTGTTGGACTACAACTCCCATCAGCCTCAGCCATCATTGCTGATGTACAAGGATAATGGCTGTTGTAGTTTCACCACATATGAAGGGCCACAAGTTTTCCACTCCTGATCTAAGCATATGTTATGTAGTGGGGTCTCCTAACCACCCTTAACAAACAAAAGTTCCCAAGTTTGTTGGAGAAAGCCATGACTGCCTAAAGTTGCATGGTGTTGCTTTAGCTAAATAGTGCAGATGGATAATAAATTATTTGACTGAACGCTGTTAAATTAAAGCACCATTATTCACTGGTTCCTAACATTCCAGCATCCTTGTTTGGACAAGGTAAGTGCCCCGGACTTGTGGTCAGTAAGGCTGCATTTAATTTTGGCCCCAGTTCCTTGAGTGCCTGTTTACCAAAGATAACCATGAATTTGTCGTAATTCAGCCGGACATCCTGGGAAACCACTCACTGCACTGTACTCTCGGGAGATTGTTATCAGCTTCCTGAGTGGCAGGGCCCCTGGAATGGACAAAGGAAAAGGTGTGCGTGTGGGGAAAGTGCCTGCAACACAGGGGGCACCTGCCTCCCAGAATCAGCACCAAAAGAAAAAACGATTAGCGTTCTTTCCTTGCTTACAGCCTCATGCAGACTGGTGGTGTTCCTTCTTCTGGAATCCCCTGCCCTACCCGTCTAGTGCAGTTGTCCCTAATTGGGGGTCCGTGGACCCCGAGGAATTCTGCGTAACCCACCCAGGAAATCTGGGGCACCATTCAGATAACAAAACCTACCCCAGAGATATCAAAATGTTCAAAAGGTGAGGGATCCATGGCTTGGCATTTGAAAAACAGGGGGTCCGCAGTACTTAGCCAACTGGGAACCACTGGTCTAGTGTACTGGTCTATGCTTAAACCTGGAGCATTCTGGAATCCTTGTTTGGATCAAGGCATGGGTCTCCCATTGAATATTGCACTCTGGTTATTGCCTGGGTTATTGGTAAGTCGACTGAGTGTTGTTAGAAGCTCTAGGTCTCAGTTGTGTGGTATGTTAAAATAGTTACAGTCCATTGGTATTGATTTGTGGGGGATAAAGCTATCGGCTTCCAGCACATATAAAAACATAAAATGTCAAGCAGAGGCTGTGTTCTGCCTCTGCTGTCATGGGCAGTATTCCTTTGGATACCAGGTTGCTGGGAATCACGAGTGAGGGGAGAAGCTGTTGCTTTCAGGTCTGATTTAGGACTTCTCATAGACATCTGGTTGGCCACTGTAAGTACAGGGTGCTGGAACAGATAGTCCAATGGCCTGATCCAGCTGGCCTTTTCTTACATTCTTCTTAGTAAGTAGCAGCAGCAGCACCTGTTCTTGGTGGAAGCCTGAGAACACCTCTAACGCTCTCTTACAGCAGGAAGGAACTAAATATATGCTGGTAGAGGGTTCAGTGGAAGAGAGGAAGAGTGTGTGCTTTAGCTGTGTTAGATCCCAGATTCTTTCTCTGGCAGATCTAGTTAAATGGTCTCGGGTAGGAGGGAATCGTAGAATCAAAGAGGAATCCTAGAATTGCAGAGTTGGAAGGGATCACCAGGGTCTAAGCCCTGCAATGTAGGAATCTTTTGCCCAACCCACAACCATGAAATTCAGAGTCCTCATACTCTACCGACAGAGCTGTTCGGCAGCTAGAGGGCTAGGAGAGACTAAGGTTAACCACACACCAAATCTAGGCTAGAAAAAAGTGCCAGCAATTCCTTAGAGCGGGTTTCAAAGGCAATGGGTTGAATTCAACGCTAATCTGGCTCAGAGCAGATTCATTGAAGTTATGGGGCATGACTAATTTAGGTTCATTGTTTCAGTGGGTAGAGAACTCTGAGTAAACTGCAGAGTAGTCCATGCAACAGGTAATTAAATTGTGGGACAGGCTCTCATAGAAGGCAGTGGTTGCCACCAACTTGGATGGCTTTAAAACAGGAGTAGTCAGACTCATGGACACTATGGTGGTCAATGGTTACTAGCCAAGATGGAAGCTATGTTCTGCCTTCCATGGTTGGAGGCACTAATGTTTCTGTAGCTCAGTTGCTGGGAACCACACGAAAGGAGAGTGCGCTTGTGCTCAGGTCCTGCATGAGGTTTCCCACAGGCATCTGGGTGGCTACTGTGACAACAAAACATTGGACGAGACGGGCCACTGGCCTCAGGCTCTACTTTTGCTTTTAGGCTAACTTAGTTGGAGACAACCCAATGCTCCTCTGACGTCTTCACCGGGTGTTGCAGCCATTGACTCTTGAAGCTCATGCTCAAACTAACACGGCATGGTAATTTGCAGCTTAGCACGATTTGGTGAGGATGGAAGGTCTCAATATTGGGAACAGAGAACTGGTGGCCCTCCAGATGTTGCTGGACTCCAACTCCCATCAGCCCCAGCCAGCATGGCCAATGCCCAGGGGTGATGAGAGCAGCAGTCGCAACCCAACAACGTCCGGAGTGCCACAGGCTTCCCATCCCATAATGGCAACGAACGGTTGCAGGAAAATAAAGGGCTGCTAGGTAGAAATTAAGTGTTGTCTTCCAAATTAATTCCATGGGATACTTAGGTCTTATATCTAAGATCCCGAAATCCTCTCTTTCTAGAGCAGGAGTGGGGAAACTATTACAGGCTGAGGGCTGTATCCGCATCTGGGCAGCCTACTAAGGGCCACATGCCAGGGGCAGACAGAGCCAGAGGCATGAGTGTGTGAAGCGGGGGATGTAAATTTTGCCTAGTTTCTGTACACACAACACAAACACATCCTTCTCTAATTTATTTTTATTTAAAAGCATTTATTAACTGTGTTAACATTTAACAAGTCCCTATGCTCCCTATTAGGGACACAGGTGGTGATGTTCGTTAAACAGAGCCTAGGACTTGCCGATCAGAAGGTCGGCAGTTCGAATCCCCGCAATGGGGTGAGCTCCTGTTGCTCGGTCCCTGCTCCTGCCAACCTAGCAGTTTGAAAGCACGTCAAAGTGCAAGTAGATAAATAGGTACCACTCTGGCGGGAAGGTAAACGGCATTTCCATGCACTGCTCTGGTTCGCCAGAAGTGGCTCAGTCATGCTGGCCACATGACCCGGAAGCTGTACACCGGCTCCCTCAGCCAATAAAGCGAGATGAGCACCGCAACCCCAGAGTCGGCCACGAATGGACCTAATGGTCAGGGGTCCCTTTACCTTTACCTTATGCTCCCTATTATTGAACAGAGCTCTAATAACTCTAATAACAGAGCTCAGGGATGCATTCCAGCCAAGCCAAAGGACTCAAGGGGGATCTGAAGCAGTGCTGGTGAGAGGCGTGGTTGAAAAGGGGGTGTGGCCGAGAAGGGTGTGTGTCCTGGGGAATGTTCTGAGAGTCGGACAACGTCTTAAAGGGGACCACATCTGACCCCTTGTCCCGAGGTCCCCCACCCATGTAATCAAGATTCAGGTGTTTTTTTCTTTTAGAAGGAAGACAGAGAAGTACAAGCAAAACCTGTTTCTCCAGAACATAATAGCAGAACAAACAAAAGGGTGGATGCATCAAGGAACGATGTCTCTATCAAATTACCTTCTTTAAATGCTAAAAAAAGAGAAAAAATTGGCTCCAGCTCATCTTTATGCAGTGTTTCTTTTGCTTAATGGGAAGTAGATAGTAGAGAATCCATCCTGTTTCAGCCTGTCATTCCAACAATGGGGGGACCTGAGCACAGGATAATTTTCCTATTCATTCCTATTAATAGGTGGCTGTTTTTGAAGCCAGCAGCCGACATTGCATTTTTAATCTCCATCCTGAGCACAACAGCTATAATAGTTTTCAAGCAAACATATATTTTCCTATTCAGCAAAAAGGCAGCGAGCCAAACATTCATCCCCAGGAAATGTACATAGTTGCATTGGCTTGCACATTAGAGATATGGCCCATTAATTTTATTTCTGGATGTACATAATTGGAATAAGATGAATTGATACTTGCATTTAGGTATGTGCTTATCCATTGTGTGCACATATATATTAAGATATATCTTAGGGCGTAATTCTGTTATTCCAAATCAGGCATGCTCAAGACTCTGGGAAAGGGCACACTAATATGAAAAAAAAACTCATTTATACGCCATGAGATAAATTAAGTAAAAAACCGAAAGCATCATAAAAAAAACAGAGTAAAGCATAATGCAATGCTCTGTGTGTGTTTCCTTTTTGAGTTTAAGGTAGTTCTGCTGTGCTTCTACACTGCAGTTGAAATCCTATCATGTGCACATTTACCTGGAAGTAAGCCCCACTGAACAGTCTATGTGCATTTTTACTTCTGAATGAAAATGCATGGGCTTGTATTGTAATGTGTTCAGTATGTATGTCAATTTCAGTTTCTCATTTTCCTAACGTTAAGTTCAGCTTTCAAGATTTCAACATTTTTTTAAAAAAAGTCCTCGTGAAAATTCATCCGCGTTTTCGTGTGAATTTTTCCTACTATATACATTTGTGTGTGCAGTTTTGCTTAATATAATGCGTTCCTGCAAAACAATTCCCCCTAGTACAATGTGGGGTTTTTTATGTTATCTTCGCTAATATAAGGTTTTCAGCAGGCATCTTGTGAGAGCACCTGCCTAATGTTAGTAGGCAGAGAGATTCATAGCTCACTAAAAGACACAAATGCAGAATGAACATTATGTGGCACCTGTAAAAGTGCAAGGTCCACAGTTGAAAGTAGCCAAACTGGTCCCAAGCCATGAAGAGCTTTATATGTAAGAATGTAAGTTCCAACAAATTCCTCCATTGCCTCGCTGACATTTTCATTTCTCAGAAGGTGGAAGAAGCCACAAGGAGATCATCAACTTGGGCCTGGTCCTCACCAACAGGGAGGAACTCATTGACAAATTAGAAGCACTGGAAACTTGGGAGGAAGTGATCATGTCCTCCTGGGTTTCATGGTACAGAAGCAAGGGAAAGCTGGATGTAGTTAGAAATGCACTATGGACTTTATGAAGGCTGATTTCAAAACATTTAAGGAACTACTGGGGGAGATCCCACCGTCAGAAATACTCAATAAGAAGGAAGTCCAAGATGGACGGAAGTTTCTTACAGATGAAATATTAAAGGCACAATTGCAGACAATTTATTCAAGACAGAAAAGTGGAAGGCATCTAAAGAAACCAGTATGGTTGCATAAGGAGCTTACAGTTGCGCTATAATTTAAGAAGGACATGTGTAAGAAATGGAAGAAAGGGGAAATCACAAAGAAGGAATATACACCAGTAGCCAACAGTTGCAGGGTGAATGTCAGGCAAGCCAGAGCTCAGAGTGGGCTCAGGCTTGCAAGAAAGGTTAAAATTAATTTTAAGAAAGGTTTATTTGGCTACTTTCGAAGCAAGAGCAAGAACAAGGAAGTGGAAGGTCCTCTGTGTGGAAAAGATGGAGAAATGCTATCGGGTAACAGAGAGGAGGCAGAACTGCTCAACACCTACTTTGCTTCTGTCTTCACCGAAAAGGAAGACAATGCCCAACCTGGTGATGACAGAATAAATGGTGTAAAGAGGGAGCCCAAGACAGGAAAATAATGAATTCAGATCTCCAGGGCCTGGTGACCAGCCTGCACCCAAGGGTACTAAAGGAGCTTGTGGATGTAAATCTCAGAGCCTCTGTCTATAATCTTTGAGAAATCTTGGCGGACAGGTGAGGTTCCTGAAGACTAAAGGTAAAGGGACCCCTGACCATTAGGTCCAGTTGTGACCAACTCTGTTTACTGGCTGAGGGAGCCGGCGTACAGCTTCTGGGTCATGTGGCCAGCATGACTAAGCCACTTCTGGCGAACGAGAGCAGTGCACGGAAAGTTTACCTTCCCGCTGGAGTGGTATCTTTTATCTACTTGCACTTTGACGTGCTTTCAAACTGCTAGGTTGGCAGGAGCAAGGACCGAACAACGGGAGCTCACCCTGTCACGGGGATTCGAACCATCAACCTTCTGATCGGCAAGTCCTAGGCTCTGTGGTTTAACCCACAGCACCACCCGCGTCCCTTTCCTGAAGACTGGAGGCGGGTAAATGTCCCCATCTTCAAAAAGGGCAGTGGGAGATCCAGGTAGCTACCAACCAGTGAGCTTGACATAAATACCAGGAAAGGTCCTAGAACAGATAATTAAACAGTCCGTCTGTAACCACTAAGAAAAGAAGTGCAGTTGCCAGGCAGAGATATATGAGGCAAGGTGTAAACTTGTGGAATTCCTTCCCTCAGGAAGCTTGGCTGACTCCCTGGTTTTTTGCCTTCAGGGGAGCACTGAAGACATTACTCTGTCCCCAGGCTTTTGGCTTGTTTTAATTACTGCTTTCCCACTGCTCTTGTGCAATGCATAATTTTAAACATCTGCCTTTAACCACTAACTATTTATCATCATATATTACTGCACAAATTGTTTTAAATTGTTCTGACCTGCCTCGGAGCCACCTGGCTGTCAAAAGGCAGGGCAGACATTTCAAAAACGAAAAGATAAAATAAAACAAAAAGCAATAAAGGTATGTCTGAGTTGTACCATTTCAGACTGCAGTTTCACATGTTTAGTGTTTCCTATGCCTCTGCCTAACACTAAACTCCTCCTCAAGGAAAATTAACGCCGGCTTTAAAAAATTGTGATTTCTCCCTGATGCGCTCATTTTACGTGTGTGTGTGTGTGTGTGTGTGGAGAGAGAGAGAGAGAGAGAGAGAGAGAGAGAGAGAGAGAATCAGTGCTATGTTTCTAGAAAAATAGATGCCAGAACTCACCATGAACATGTTCCTTGTTTTCTTCAAATGGCAATGGCGCCCACCTGAGAGGTGCCAGAACTGAGTTCCGGACGGGGGGAGCCTTGTATATACAGTGGTACCTCAGGTTACATACACTTCAGTTTATATACGCTTCAGGTTACAGACTCCACTAACCTAGAAATAGTGCTTCAGGTTAAGAACTTTGCTTCAGGATGAGAACAGAAATCGGGCTCCGGCAGTGCAGCAGCAGCAGGAGGCCCCATTAGCTAAAGTGGTCTTCAGGTTAAGAACAGTTTCAGGTTATGAATGGACCTCTGGAACGAATTAAGTACTTAACCCGAGGTACCACTGTATCATGGAGAACCATTCAGGCCTTCACGTTGCCAAATTATACTTATGCATCACTAAACAAGAAGGTGCAAGTTTGCAGAGAATTAGCATGTGCCGATATCTATGTTGAGGTGCACTTTTAGAAATAATTACTATAATTTAAATAGAAGCGAAGCTCATCTTGCCGTAGCTGGGAAGACTGTGACCAGGAGACCCTCTTTGCCTACTCAGTCTGCTGCTCAGGTTGTCGCCGTCGATTGACAACTTCAAGACGCTGCCTGTCTCCCCCGTCAGGTTCTTTATGCGACCAAATTTGGAACATTGAGTGCATTTCTGGCCGCTTCACCTCAAAAAGGATATTGCAGAGTTCAAAGGGGCTCAGGAAAGGACCAAAAAAAAATTATTGAAGGGATGGGGTGGCTCTCCTATGAAGAAAGGTTGGGGTGTTTAGGACTAGTGAGGGGGGGGACAGGAGCGAGAGGCTACATGATAGAAGTTTATAAAGTTATGCATGGCATAGAGAAAGTGGATAGAGATAAGTTTTTCTCTTCTTTCCTTGGATGGAAAGAGGTTGGATTGCCAGAATGGCAGATCAGGTTTATGGACTATACCGAAATGGCAAAATTAACTGGCAAGCTCAGGAACCAAGAAGACAAGAAATTTTTAAAAAAGAAAGAATTGGAAATGTTTATACAGTGGTACCTTGGGTTACATACGCTTCAGGTTACATATGCTTCAGGTTACATACGCTTCAGGTTACAGACTCCGCTAACCCAGAAATATTACCTTGGGTTAAGAACTTTGCTTCAGGATGAGAACAGAAATCGTGCTCCGGTGGGGCGGCGGCAGCAGGAGGCCCCATTAGCTAAAGTGGTGCTTCAGGTTAAGAACAGTTTCAGGTTAAGTACAGACCTCTGGAACAAATTAAGTACTTAACCTGAGGTAGCACTGTAATGTATATACAAAATTATTGTAAACATTAGCAGGGTTTTAAATGCACTTGTAATGTACTAGAAATTACAGATAACTTAGGAAGATGAAAATTTTGGGGAAGTACTGATAGGCAGGTGAAAACAGTAGTAAGAGGACCCATCAATGGGATGAGGGGAAGTCAGGAGGTTCAGAGCAATCTCAATACATGAATGTGCAAGACATGTGGATGGAACTTTATCACTTTTTTCTTCATTTCTTTCTCTTTCTCTTTTTTCTTTTTTCTATCTATCATCTATCTATCTATCTCTCTATCTATCTATCTATCTATCATCTATCTATCTATCATCTATCTATCTATCATCTCTCTCTCTCTCTCTCTCTCTCTCTCTCTCTCTCTCTATATATATATATATGAAAGAAGTTGGATAGGCATCTGCCATGGATGATTTAGTCAAGATTCCCTCTACGATTCTATGATTCATAACACTAGAACCCGTTGACATCCAATGAAGCTGTGTGTTGGAAGATTCAAGGCGCCGCGCACAGTTCAATGATGGAAAAGTGCTCCCCTAGTGATGGCTGCCAACTTGGATGGCTTTAAAAAGAGGGCTAGAGATGAGGATGAGGATGAGATGAGATCATCATCAGCCATTTGCCACCACTGTTGGATTTTGATCGGGGCAGTGGGTGGGGAGTGTGCGCCACTCCTCTGATCAAATGTGCAGCCCCTCAAAGCTAAATTTTAATTTCCACAGCGGTGTGGAGACAAGTCGCAGGTCTCCAGCATCATGTTTGATTTGGCCCCAAGCCATGGACTTTGGATCTTTGCACATTCCTAAGCAGGAAGCAAGGAAACAGAAAGACTCTTCTACCTATTGTGTGAATGCCAAACCCAAGCCTTCCATGACAACGTTTTCAGTGCTTTGTTTGTTCAAGGGATTTGCATGTGGTATGAACTGCCTGGGAGGAAAAAGAAGAATATACCCGCATAGGTAATTCTTTTTTTCAAAACTGAATTCTATCTTAGGTAGAACTGGAAACTGTAATCAGGATCTGACTTCTACAGTATTAAACTAGTTTCTTAATTTTTTAAAAATGCTAATAATCAGATAATAAATGTGTATCAGTATTCGGTCTGTTATGTACATTTAAAGCAGTATCATGCCACCTCAAACACACATGGATTCCCCCAAACAATTCTGGGTGCTCTGCAAATGTTTTGGAGTGTATTTCTGCCATCTCTGGCCATTGTTCATGATGCTTTGGGCTAATGGGATGTTGTGGTCCAAAACATCAGTGCAGCGCTAGATTGGGAAAGGCTGGTTTTTGCCTGTTAGTCTCTGCAACACTAAGCTTGTATGGAATGGATGCAATGAAGACCACCCAGCTGTGCGAAAGAAGCATTGTACAGTGGTACCTCGGGTTAAGAACTTAATTCGTTCTGGAGGTCCGTTCTTAACCTGAAAGTGTTCTTAACAGCACGATTTCTGTTCTCATCCTGCAGCAAAGTTCTTAACCCGAGGTACTATTACTGGGTTAGCAGAGTCTGCAACCTGAAGCGTACGTAACCTGAGGTACCACTGTACTACTGTTTGTACCTTTGCAGAAGAATATGGGGCAGCTACAGAGATACCATTATGGGGCACAGGTGGCGCTGTGGTCTAAACTACTGAGCCTAGGGCTTGACTATCCAAAGGTCGGCAGTTCGAACCCCTGCGATGGGGTGAGCTCCCGTTGCTCAGTCCCTGCTCCTGCCTCGTATTATTTTTTTTTTCCATGTAACATTTTTACAAATCCATTTCATTTGTTGAGGCATTAGGGGGAGAAGAGAAAAAAAAGAAGAAAGAAAGGGGGGGTGGAGAGAGGGAAGATGGATAGGGGTGGGGTCGGGTGGCGGTGTTTCTATTATGTTTAATGTATGTAGAGTTTGGTGTCAGCGTTGCTTGTGTTGTTCACTTGTGTTCCTTTGGTGGTGAGAGAGGTTGGGGTTGGCCTAGGGTGTGATTGTTTGCTTGTGATTGGCTGTGGTGATCTTTGTTTTCATGTGTGAGTGGGGTGGGTGGGTGTTTTGGATCAGGTTAGCCATATTGATTTGTATGCTGTTGGTGGATTATTGTCATTGTCCTGTTGGGCTGTGTATGTGATAAAGGGGAGTCTTCTTCTGTTTGTCCCCGTGTCAGTTTCAGTTTATTAGTTAATTTTTCTAGTAGGGCTGTTTCCCATACTATTTGGTACCATTGGTCCATGCTTACTCCTGACAGGTCTCTCCAGTGTCTGGTTATGGTGTTTCTGGCTGCTGAGAGCAGGTGGGTTATGAGTTCTTTGTGGTGTAAATGGGCATTGTTGTCTTGGAAGATGTTTAGTAGGGCCAATTCTGGGGTGATGTCTATTACTTGCTTAGTTATTTCACATATTTCTTGTATGGCTGTTGTCCAGAATAGTTGGATTTTGGGATACTCCCACCACATGTGGAGGTATGTGCCTGTGGAGGTGCACACTCTCCAGCATTTTGGTGAGGTTCCTGGGTGTATTAGCGCTAGTTTCCTTGGTGTTAGGTACCACCTGTAGGTGAGTTTCAGTGTGAGTTCTTTTCTTTTCGTTGATATGGATTTAAAGGGGGGTTTAGACCACATTCTGGTCCATTAAGTGGGGTTAATCTCATAGCCTATGTCATTCTCCCATTGTTTTTTGATTGCGTCTAGGGGATTTGCGGGATTATGGAGTAGTATTTTGTATATTGCGGATACCGTTTCCCTTTGTTGTTAGGAGGAGGTTTTCGAAGGTTGTCAGGGGCCTAGTTGCTGCTGATTTTACTGTTGGGTTGTTTAAGAGGGCATGTAGTTGGTGTTGTGTTAACCAGGGCATTTGGGTGTCTTCTAGTTTGTCTTGTATTTCTTGTGTTGACAAGGGTTTGTTATTTTTATAAAAGTCTATTAGGCGATATAAGCCTTTGGTTTGCCAGGTTTTTATCTGGAGGTTTTGTGCTGCATGGTGGAATAATGAGTGGTACGCCAGGGGGATTAGTGGGGATGGGGTTGGGGATAGTTTGCCTATTTGTGTTTTCCATGCTTTGAGCATGGTCTGTGTGTACCTGTTAAGCGTTGTGGGAATTTTCTTTAGTTTGTTTGGGAGGAGTGGGTATGTTGTGGTGCAGGTGTTTTCAATTGTGTCCCTCTCTAGGTGTACCCATTGTTTTGTCTCATCTTCTAGTATATATGGGATTATATGGCGTATTTGGTTGGCATTGTAATATGCTTCTATGTTGGGAATCCCCATCCTCCTTCTGAGGTGGGGAGGTGCAGGTATTTGGGGCTTATTCTTGGTTTTTATGTGAGAAGATGAAAGAGTGTAGTTTTCTCTGCCAACTGCGAAGTTGGGTTGAGGGGATCCAGATTGGGAGGGTTTGGAATAGGTAGGTTAGTTTTGGGAGTGTGATCATTTTGATCATGGCTATTTTGTCTGAGAGAGTGAAGTTCATGTTATTCCATCTCTTTAGGTCTTTGTTAATTTGTCGCCACAGGGGCTTGTAGTTGTGGAGGTACAATTTATTGAGGTTTCTGGTTATTTGTACCCCTAGGTATCTGAACTTGGTGTGGCAAAGTTTTATTTTGGTGACCTTCGTGAGTTCTTTTTGGGTGTGAGGAGGGGTGTTGAAGCACATAGCTTCTGACTTTGTAAAATTTACCTGTAGGCCCGACACCATTGCAAATGTGTTGAGTTCTCTGATTAGGGAGGTTGCTGTGCTTATGGGGTCTGGTGTTGTGACCATTAGGTCATCTGCAAAGAGCCCTAATTTATAGGTTCTGCCTTTTATTTCCACTCCCTTGATGTCTGTGGCTGCTCGGATGCGGATTGCTAGGGGTTCCAGAGCCAGGATAAATAAGAAGGGAGACAGTGGGCATCCTTGTTTCGTGCCTCTTTGGATAGCTATAGTGTTAGAATCCATATTGTTAGTTCTGCATTTTGCTGAGGCTTGGGAGTATATTTGTTTGAGGATTTGTAGGAAGTTGGGGCCGAATTTCATGTTAGTTAGTACTGCTAGTATGTATTTCCACTCCAAGCAATCAAAGGCTTTGAGGATGTCTAGGGACATAATTGTCAATGGGAGTTTGGTTGCCTTGCTGTGTTCGATCAGGTTCAGTAGTTTCCTGATGGGATCTGTTATATTGCGGCCAGGGACAAAGCCAGTCTGGTCTGGGGCTATTAACTTGTGTAGGAAGATTTTTAGGCGGTTGGCCAAGATTGATGTGAATATCTTGTAGTCTTGGTTTATTAATGAGATTGGGCGGTATGATTCTACTTTGAGGCTGTCTTTTAGTGGTTTTGGGATGGAGACTATTTTGGAGTGGGTCCAGGTTTTGGGGATGGGGCCCCCCTTTTATGATGTCATTGAATAGGCGGGTCATGTAGGGCATCAAGGGTTCTTTGAATTTCTTATAGAATTCTGCTGTGAAGCCGTCTGGGCCTGGGGCTTTGTGTGGTTTCAGGTTTTTGAGGACCGCATCTATTTCCTCTGGGGTGATAGGACTGTCCATGAATTCCTGTTCCTCATCAGTTAGGGTAGGCATGGTCAGTCCCTGCTCCTGCCAACCTAGCAGTTCGAAAGCACGTCAAAGTGCAAGTAGATAAATAGGTACCGCTCCGGCGGGAGTTAAACGGCGTTTCTGTGTGCTGCTCTGGTTCGCCAGAAGCGGCTTAGTCATGCTGGCCACATGACCCGGAAGCTGTACACCAGCTCCCTCGGTCTATAGAGCGAGATGAGCACACAACCCCAAAGTCGTCTGCGACTGGACCATATAGTCAGGGGTCCCTTTACCTTTACAGAGATACCTTTAGGACCAAAATAATAGGTGCAGTTACCCCCCAAAACTATCACCTCCCCACCAGCAAGATTCACGCATAAGAGCACTCTCCCTCCCTGTGGTTTCCAGAAACCGGTACAGTGGTCCCTCGAGTTACAAACGCCTCAGGTTACAAACGCTTCATGTTACAAACTCTGCTAACCTGGAAGAGTTACCTCAAGTTGAGAACTTTGCCCCAGGATGAGAATGGAAATTGTGTGCCGGCGGCACAGCGGCAGCAAGAGGCCCCATTAGCAAAAGCACGCCTCTAGTTAAGAACAGTTTCAGGTTAAGAACGGACCTCTGGAATGAATTAAGTTTGTAACTAGAGGTACCACTGTCTTCACAATCATTGTTGCCTCCAACTGGAGGGCCTTCCCAGTAGTGGCGCCTTCCCTGTGGAACGCCCTCCCATCAGATGTCAAGGAAATAAACAACTATTTGACTTTTAAAAGACATCTGAAGGGAGCCCTGTTTAGGGAAGTTTTTAATGTTTGATGCTTTATTGGGTTCAGTTGGGAGCTGCCCAGAGTGGCTGGGGAAACCCAGCCAGATGGGCGGGGTATGAATAAATTATTATTATTATTATTATTATTATTATTATTATTATTAGGAGGCAGAGCACAGGTGCCATGGCTAGTAGCTATTGATAGCTTTATCCTTGCCTAATCCTCTTTTGAAGCCATCCAAGTAAGTGGCTATCCCTGCAGGAGGGAGTTCCATAGATTAACTATGTTCTGCATAAAGGGTGTCTGTGTCCTGAATCCTACACCATTCACATTAGATGTCTACAAGTTCCGGTGCTGTAAAAGAAGGAGAACAACTTTTACAGGCAGTGACCATTTCAGGCACATCTGATGGGTGCGCAACCGCACACATGCACGTTGCGCTGAACCCGGAAGTGGCCCAACAATGTCACAGAAAAGGGTGGGGCAGGGGCAGAATGGGGCGTTTGCAGGCTTTTTCAATGGTGTTTAAGATACAGTGGTACCTCGGGTTAAGTACTTAATTCGTTCCGGAGGTCCGTTCTTAACCTGAAACTGTTCTTAACCTGAAGCACCACTTTAGCTAATGGGGCCTCCTCCTGCTGCTGCTGCGCCGCCAGAGCACGATTTCTGTTCTCATCCTGAAGCAAAGTTCTTAACCTGAGGTAATATTTGTGGGTTAGCGGAGTCTGTAACCTGAAGCGTATGTAACCTGAAGCGTATGTAACCCGAGGTACCACTGTATATGCCATTTCACTTAACAGTGTGGTGACTTGGAACGTAATTGGTAGTTGCCTGTGCTTTCATTATGAGGTGGCCAACGACTTCTCTGCCACCTCCCCTCTCCTCACCCCCTTGCTGACTAAAATTGTTTGCGGGAGATTGTGAAGCTGAGAAAACAGTGGCATCTGTTAAGACCACCTCCTAAGTTTCTGATAGAGGTGAGCTTTCTTGAATTGAGGGCTTCCGGATTCTCAGCTTAGCCATGACAACACTGTACTAAGCCCGTTGGCAACGGACGGGACGAAGACGGGCCTCGCTGTGCGAGCGGAAAACCACATTACCGTTTGCGCCTTTGCAAGAGAAAGAGGGCAGTGATGTGGTTTAGTGCTGGGGAGGATTAAGTGCTGTTTGGGTCCTGTAGAGAAAAATAGGATCTGGATTAGATCGACCTTTGGAGTGATCCAGCAGGGCTCTTCTACTGTTTTTGGGAGGAACACAAAGAGGTTTAAAGACTCTCTCAAGGCAAAGCTTTGAAAATGTAGTATAAACACTGACAACTGGGAAATACTGGCCTGGGAGTACTCCAATTGGAGAACTAAGTACGAAAGGGAGAAACGTGCTAAGAGGAAGGCTTATGTCCCCACTGTGGAAGGACGTGTGGATCCAGAATTGGCCTCCACAGTACCTTATGGACTTACTGTTAAAACTGTGTTCATGGAAGACAATCTTACTCAGCCACGAGTGATCGAAGAAGAAGAAGAAGAAGAAGAAGAAGAAGAAGAAGAAGAGAGGAACACACAGCTTTCAAAGGGAAAGGGAGGAAGACCAGACAGGTTACAAAGCAGCAAGGCAATGCAGGATACCCTTTCTGATGCATTTTAAAGACAGATTATTTAAAATTTTAAAAAAAAAATTAAGGACAGCCAAGTGCTCCTGTTTTGGAATGGTATGATAGCAGAGGAAAGCTCTGTTTCTGGAGATGGCAGGAGGGGGGAATGTATTTCACAACTAATGTTGAATGTATTTTAATCTTTATATAACATTTATATACCTGCAGAGAGAGGAATTTAGCCCTCGGCTGTTTTGCATTTAATAAGACGTTTAAATAAATCAATAAATGAGAAACCATGGGATTATGTGCAATCTGAATTATTAAAAAGAACAATAAATATATAACACACACACCACACCCAGCGTGACCACATTATTTCGCAACCTGAGATAGAAAATCCCACAAGTGTCACTCCTTGGGAGTAAAAGTTCAGCAATAATAAATTTAAAATAAAAAACCTTTTGCCGTCCCTTTCATGACCCCTCAAAACTGGCTGCCTGAGGCAGTCACCTTTGTCTAATGTATGGAAGTGAGAGCTGGACCATAAAGAAGGCTGATCGCCAAAGAATTGATGCTTCTGAATTCTGGCTCTGGAGGAGACTCTTGAGAGTCCCATGGACTGCAAGAAGATCAAACCTATCCATTCTGAAGGAAATCAGCCCTGAGTGCTCACTGGAAGGACAGATCCTGAAGCTGAGGCTCCAATACTTTGGCCACCTCATGAGAAGAGAAGACTCCCAGTAAAGACCCTGATGCTGGGAAAGATGGAGGGCACAAGGAGAAGGGGATGACAGAGGACGAGATGGTTGGACAGTGTTCTTGAAGCTACCAGCATGAGTTTGACCAAACTGCGGGAGGCAGTGGAAGACAGGAGTGCCTGGCGTGCTCTGGTCCATGGGGTCACGAAGAGTCGGACACGACTAAATGACTAAACAACAAGGGACGGTGCTGACCGGCTGTGAGCAGAGATCCAACTTGGTAGGCAACCTGTTTTGAGAAGTATGGCACTGTAGAGACAAAGGTGTGGTGCTTAGAATGTCAGGCTAGGACTCAGGAGACCCAGGTTTGAATCCCTGCTCAGCCATGAAGTTCACTGGGTAACCTGGGACTACTCACTTGTTCTCAGCTTAATGTATCATTCTGGATTGTTTGAAGATTACAGTGGAATAGATAATTATAGCTGTCACCTTGAGCTTCTAAGAGAAAGGGTGGGAAATCAATACAATCATAATAAACTCACTTCCCCATTGTTTGCCACTCAAGAGTCATTCACACAGCAAAATAATGTCCTTCTCTCTGTCTCTGTCTCGCAAAGATAAACAGCAACCGAAAATCCTCTTATTTATAGTACTTAGCTCTATAGCTCTCAATTTTTCATCTTCCCAACCTCATCCCATTTGTGCATCATTTCATTATTTGTTCTTTTTCAAAGTCTGCATGAAAATTCATATGTAGTTTCATGCAAATTTCTCCTACTACATGCAAGTGTTATGCGTGATTTTGCCTAAAATATGCATTCGGCGAGCAGTTATTTCGGGGCACATGTGTTTGTTGCAGAACTACACTGCCAAATTTGGACAAGTGTGAATTTCAAAGGGTTAGGTGTGTCTTTGGTTCACACAGGTTGAGGAAGTATAAACTGCGTGAATATGTTTTAAAGTGCAAAGTGGCTTAATCTTTCCCTCTCCCTGCTCTACAGCTGCTATTTTTATCGTTCAATTAGATGCCTTGTTAAATCAAGACCACTGGCCTTTTTTTGCTTTCAACAGGTCGGCTCGCGACATTTGACAAGCTTCTGGACATTTTTCGTTACGTTGGAACGAAAAGATGAGAGTGACAGGTAAGAAAAGAGGCCCTTTTTTTTCCCCTGAGGCAAAAATGCCTCAGGACATTTTCTTTATATTCTCACATACCTCACCTTGGTGTCAGTTTCTCACCCGTTGTCAGGTACAACATAGCAGAAAGTTCAGCAAGGAAAATGGGGTGGGGGCAGGTAACACCATCCCCGGGGCAACCCTACAAATGTTGGAAGATTTAGGACAGACAAGCAGACAAAAGACAGTGCATAGATAAACTATAGAATCTGCTCCTGCAAGAGGTAGTGATGGTCAATAACCTTCATGGCTTTAAAGGAGAATTGGACAAATTAGCAGAGATTCCTGCATTGCAGAAGGTTGGACTAGAGTTGGGTCCCTTCCAACTCTAAGCTTCTATGATTCTTCTCGGCCCATTATACCTGAAGGAGCGTCTCCACCTCCATCGTTCAGCCCGGACACTGAGGTCCAGCGCTGAGGGCCATCTGATGGTTCCCTCGCTGCGAGAAGCCAAGTTACAGGGAACCAGGCAGAGGGCCTTCTCGGTAGTGGCACCCGCCCTGAAGGCAGCCCTGTTTAGGGAAGCTTTTAATGTTGAATAAGTTATTGTATTTTAGTGTTTTGTTGGAAGCCACTCAGAGTGGCTGGGGAAACCCAGCCAGATGGGCAGGGTATAAATAATAAATTATTATTATTATTATTATTATTATGGCACATAAGAATAACCAGGAAGGCAATGCCATAGTCAAGAGGCAGTAATGCTTCCAAACATCAGTTGCTGGAAACCACAGGAGGGAGGTGTGCTCTTGTATTAGGCTCTGAAACACCATCATAAAACCAGTTGCTGGGACTCACAAGTGGGGAAAGCACTGTTCCACTCATGGCCTGCTTGCATGCTTTCCATGGGCATTGGGTTGGCCACTTTGAGAATAAGATGCTGGACTAGACGGGCATTTAGCCTGATCCAGCAGAATTCTTATTATGTTCTTATTATGTTGAAAGCCAGCTACATCTAACCGTGGGGACATGCGCAGATGGCCAGGAACAAAAACAAAACCCGCCACCCTCTAGGCAATGCAGCCTTTATAGCCAAGGCACCATTTCGTTCTCCAAAGAGATCAGCGCTCCATCCATTACTACAAACTTCAAATCTCCATCAAAGCATCGTCTGGGCGTTGTGGTGGATCTAAATGCCCGTTGTTCATAGCGTTTAGTTTTTATATTATGTTGGAAGCCCAGAGTGGCTGGGGCAACCCAGTCAGATGGGTGGGGAATAAATAATAATAATAATAATAATAATAATAATAATAATAATGATGATGATGATGATGATGCTGGCCTTGTGGACAAAGTATCACTTCTTCTTTTTAAAAAAAACTATTTATGATTTTCAATTTTATACATTTCAATAATTTTACAATCATTTTAAGATTTCAAAACTCGGCTTCCTTCCCCCTCTTTCTGCGGTTCCTTAAATTTATTTATTTTTTAATATGTTTTCTGCATATTCCAAATTATCTTAACTTAATCATTTCTTCATCTTTAGATGTATACGCTAATAAACCTGCAGGTTATTACAGTAATCCTGCCAACGTTCTTATCTGTTTACAATTTGTTTGTAAATATTGAATAAACCATTTCCATTCTTCTAATTTTTTTTAAAAAAATATGTTATCTTGATTTCTTATTTTTCTGGTAAGTTTTGCCATTTCTGCGTATTCCAAAGGTTTTTGTAACCATTCCTTCTTTTGTCGGGATTTCTTCTTCTTTCCATTTTTGAGCAAATAACATTCTTGCCTCTGTAGCTGCAGATGAAGTGTGACTTCTTCCCTAGTTAGGGCCCTTTACGATTTCACAATGGGCAAATATAAATCCTTCGTTAAATCAAACCTCCTCTGCAACAGGAATGTGCCCCAGCAAGCTCCTCATTGTGAGTGGTAGCTCCTTGATTTAGTTCATTGTCTCAACTTTTGAGACCCACCCAGAGAGTGGGAACTAGCTGGTCCAGCAGCCAATGACTTCTGAATGACTACCATTTTATGAAGACTTGCGCTGTCATCCAGCTTTTAAGCTGGACTGATTTGCAGACTTGGGTTGGGCTCTTTGCTTGTTTGCTCAGGAACGCGCCCGGCCTCATCCTTCTGCCTTGCTGCCGGCAGTCTGTCCACCTGCTCTGCTCCTAGCTTCCACCTGACCCCCCATCTCCCTTCTGACTCAGGTTTGCTGCGAATCCTGGCCGTGGTGTTCACCTTGGCCACAACTTGGCTTTTTGTCAACACCTATTTCAACCACACTGGCATGAAATCCATCAGCCTGAGGAGCTGGCTGGGTGAGTAAGTTGTGATTGTAACCAGAGCACTTTTCCCCCTCCTGCTGAGCTTTCCCTCCTTTACACCTGAGAGAGCAGCCAGAGGGCAAAGATCTCTCTTGCAGCTTCCCACACCTCCAAAATTGAAAACAGGCCCAAGATCTTCACCTGATAGTTCCGTGGGGTTGCCAGGTCACAACCCGAAGGAAGCACGTGTGTTGTTTCCTTTGAGAGCCACAAAGCAGAATTCAGGTGGGATTTTTGTCTTTGGGGCATCACCACTTCCCAGCAGCCCCAGCCAGAGTACTGGGTTGTTGGAAGCTGTCTGTTATGTACTGAGTTGAATAGGATCCAAAATGCAGCAGTCTGATTGGTCCTAGAACAATAGGATTCAGAATGCAGCAGTCTGATTGGTCCTGGAACAATAGGATCCAGAAGGCAGCAGTCTGATTGGTCCACAGGAGCCACCCAATCCAGCTCCAGGTGAAAGTGAATCCGCAACCTGATTGGCCTACAGGAGAATCCCAGAATTAGCCAATCACGTGGGGCCCATTGTGTAAATAATGTATATAAAGCAGACATTCTGGGAGAACTTCCATTCCTCCTCACCACTATGAGCTGAATAAAGAGCATGAAATCCATTCTCGACTCCGAGTATATTTCCCTGTCCTACACAAAGCAGGCTTGTCCATGAGGCAAGGCTGGGGCAGCTGCCGTTTCTGCTGAGCTCTTGGGAGCTCTCACTGAAATCTCACAAGATCTCACGCACTCTGCGAGATCTCGCCAGAACCCGCTGTCGTCCTCATTGCCATACGACCCCGGTAAGGGGGATGGCAGTGGGGCAGCACCTTCCCATCTCACCTCAGGTGGCGAAACGGGATGCGCCACCCTGGTCCTACCAGGTCCCAGCTAAAATGAATGGGGCCGGTTGCGGCTGTTCCCCTGGTCCCATTCATTTCAGTGTGTCTTCAATAAGATAATTCCCCAGAGGATTGTGTGTAAGGGCCGAGAACAGACAAGGGGGACATTTGAGCCTCCGGATATTACTGAACTACACTTCCCATGATCCCTGGCCATTGGCCATGCTTGCAGGGGCTGATGGGAGTTGTAGTTCAGAACACCTCGAGTGCCAAAATTTCCCCACACCTGGCCTAGAACAAGGCTAAGCCAGCAACGGCGAACATTATTGTGCCAAATTCATGATGAGTACACTTGAGTGTTCAAGGAAACCAGCGAGGAAGACCGGGGGAGTGGGGGCTTTTCTTTCCTCGTCACACATTTGTTGCTACCTTGTATAAATATCTGCATGAAACAACCAAGACTTTTCATTCTGCTTTTGTTTCCTTGCCATCTCTGCAGGTAGCGGAGTGAAGCCAACCAGTGAGTACATTGCCTTTGTGTTCAACTCCGTTGTATAACCTGATATTTATTAACAGTTCTCTGGAACTCAGGGTGAAGGATGAATATATACAACTGTCTCAAGACTATGTAGAGCAGAGTACATAACCATATAGATGTCAACTTCATGTGGATGCCTAGCTGGACATTGAGGACTTACATTAATTTATGTATATGTTTAACTTCAGATGCATTTACTCATAGTTACTCTGTCTGCAATGGGAACTAATGGTGTGTTCCACCTGACTATTAGTATTTTTCCTTTTTATTTTTTTCTAATAATCCTCTCACCCCTTCCTTTCCTCTGCTAAATATGCACATAAAAAAATATTTTTTTAAAAAAAATGATATTAGTGCTGTGATGCAAACTGCAGGTTGGATTTTCTTTTTCCTTGTCAGAAAAGCACATTGTCCGGCATAAATGTGGCAACCAAAGACCCTGCCCCAGCCAAAGTTTCGCCTTCAGAATCACTAGCGGCGCAGCCAATGTGGTCGGACCTTCCATGTGCTTTGACGATGTTAAGTAAGTTCTGTGCAGTGGTGCAAGCACATTATGCACCACCATGTGTCCATGCTTCATGCAGTAGCCTGTGCTGGCCTGGGTGGCGTTAAAAGAGGGTGGGGCAAATTCATGGAAGAGAAGGCTGTCTTCTGCCCTCACCGTGAGAGGCAGCATGCCAGTCTGAATGCCAGTTGATGGAAATCCCAGGTGGTTTTTTTAATGGGCACCAGACACTGTGAGAACAGGATAGTGAGCCAGATGGGCCTTTGGCCTGACCTCGGATTGCCATACGCCCAGAATTTCCTGGGCATAGCTGGAATACAAGAGAGAGCCAGTGTGGTGTAGTGGTTAAGAGCGATAGACTCATAATCTGGGGAACCGGGTTCGCGTCTCCGCTCCTCCACCTGCAGCTGCTGGGTGACCTTGGGCCAGTCACACTTCTCTGAAGTCTCTTAGCCCCACTCACCTCACAGAGTGTTTGTTGTGGGGGAGGAAGGGAAAGGAGAATGTTAGCCGCTTGGAGACTTCTTCGGGTAGTGATAAAGCGGGATATCAAATCCAAACTCTTCTTCCTCTTCTTCGTAAGCTCAATAACTTTGCCCCCCCCACACACACACAAAGCGCAATAACTTTTGTCTCCGCATTTTCACTTTTTGAAACATGGCAAACCTACCTGGCCCAGCAGAGCTTTTCTTCCAGTAATAAGATTTTTATTAAAGTTTCCCATACTGCAAAAAGATAAGAGCTACAAAAAATACAGGTAGAACAAACAGAAGGTGGAGTCCTCTCTTAAAGGTTGTTCTTAGGCCTTGCCACCCACGGAAAGGAGGAGTTCACCTGGGATATTTCCTTTCTCCTCCCAGCCTCTCATCCTAGATGACTGACATTTCCCCGCCTCCCACCCAGGGCTCTCCATCAACCATCTACTGCCCCCTTGAGTACACAATCCAGCAGGACTTTCTGTATAGCCCTATATGCCTAATTCCCCCTCCCTTTCTTCCTCTTCTTCTTTTACAGGGTGTTAAGCAGCATAAAAAATAATGTTGGTCGGGGTTTAAACATTGCGCTTGTCAATGGTGAGTTGTTGTTTTTTTTACAATTCCTGGAAATTGTAGTTTGTTAAGGGTCTGGGATATGTAGCTCTGTGAGGCGGGTCGCCTAACAATTTTCAGCACCCTTAACAAACGACCCTTCCCAGGGTTCTTTGGGGGGAAACCAGGACTGTTAAAGTGGCAGAAGTGTGCTTCAACTTCCTGGTGTCGATGTGACCTGACACTTCCTACTGTGTCAGGAACTCAGGTGTCTCTTTGGGATACCTGTTAACTTCAGAAGTGGAAATCGTAGTTTTGCAGGGAGGGGAGTGGTAGGGGGTCTTTAGCAGAGGATGCTAAGCACTCCACGCAATTGCAATTCTCCAGATTCTTTGATGGAATCCATAAGTGGTGCAAAGCACATTCAGATCCTACAGACTGGACCTGTTTAGCAATGGCACACAGCACTGCCCTTGTAGGGCTGTACCACCTCTCAAACCATGGGGGAGATTGCCTGCTTGAATGTGCCTCCACATCAGAGCCACCATGTAGCTGGAAACCTTGACATTGACATTGGCTCTCTTAGAGGACCAATAAGAGGACCATGTCCGTTTCCTGTCCGCAAAAAGCAGCAGGTTCTAACCCTTTAGGTGTCCCCATCCTGCCTCTGCCGGATTCCAACTCCCATTGGTCCCAACCAGCACAGCCAACAATCAGGGATGGTGGGAGTTCTAGTCCGGTGTTATCTAAAGGGCCACCGGCACTTTATTCCTGCTGTAAAGCAAGGGTGTTTACTAATGACTGGTCATCCACCAACTGTGGCGGTCCAGGCTTAATTAGGAAACAGGGCATTTCCCAGGGATTCAGCCCATCTAAATGGCATGCAGTGGCATAGTGTAGCAGGGACCAGGAGGGGCAGGGGCCCCGGGCACAAAATTCTGAGGGGATGCAACTCAGCTCCCTCACACAGGCTCCAGCTTCCGCAGAGATCCCTGGCCTGGCCCAGCGAGGGCGGCAGAGCAGCACAGGCCCACGATGAGTGGGCCCAAACAGAGCAAGGTGAGCAATGTCTAACCCCAGTGTAGCCCGGCCCACTGCTCCTCTCAGTAGGTACTGGGGGGATTTGCCCATCAAGGGCCACAGTGGCTGGCTGGGCTCCCCCCTGTGTAGGCAGGCAGCACAGTACAGCCCTGCTTGGCTCCGGGAGGGGGGGGCACTGCAGCAGCAGCTTGCCTGCCACGGGTGCTGACAATCCATGCTATGCCACTGGCCTTCTGATATGGAAACCCTGTCCTCTAGCCCAAAGCATGCCAATATTATTAATTTGAATGACATTTTGCATCTTTTCAGAAGAACCCTCCTTTACACATTTTTTTTTTTTTGAGGGGAGGGGTAGAACACATATTTTAAAAGCTGAATATATTGAATGTTACTTTAGCTTGATCTGCAGGCACATGCAGTAGGGGAAAGTCCGTAACTGTACCTGGGGATCTCTGCAGCCTCAGCTGCCAGACAGTTGACTGATGCTGGGATAGGGTGGGGTTTGGTATCCAGAAGGTGAACAATGTTTTTGGTGTCTGGCAGCTCAGTGCGAAACCGGTTTTCAAGAAGCTCCAGTCTAGCCAACTCTTCTTGTTTGCAGTTCTCAGTTCCTGGAGCAAAAAATAAATAAATAAATCATTCCAAACTATTTCATTGTCCCTTCTCACTCTGGAGCGAATGGTTTGCGTTCCATCCGGGTGGTCCACAATGACGCTCCACTCCACACACCCTTTTCCAATCTAGGCTGATGTGGAAGTCGAGCATTGGAACACGGATGGAAGCATGCCTCTCCTTTCTTGTGCAATAAAACTGAGCCGATCCCTTCTTCTCATAAAATTTAAAGATACTGTAAGTGCTTTGACCTTGAGAAAATGGCATGGCATCTGGCAGGCGCAATGGGAAGTGGGCACCATTCAGGTCTGAAGGAAAACGTGTCCAGTGAGCTGCAGCTAACACAAACACCCTTCTGTGTGTTACTTGGCATTGTGTACTTTGCACAAAGGAAGCAGCAGGCAGGCCACGAGAGGCAACTGCAAATGCTGTTAATGTAAAGGAGAATGTCTTTTAGACCATCCTTTATGGACCTTGGGTTGCCCTGGTTTGTAATGACTTCTTTCCTGTTCATCCATTTACAGTGGTACCTCTGGTTAAGAACTTAATTGGTTCTGGAGGTCTGTTCTTAACCTGAAACTGTTCTTAACCTGAGGTACCACTTTAGCTAATGGGGCCTCCCGCTGCTGCCATGCCGCCGGAGCACGATTTCCGTTCTCATCCTGAAGCAAAGTTCTTAACCTGAGGTAATATTTCTGGGTTAGGGGAGTCTGTAACCTGAAGCGTCTGTAACCTGAAGCGTCTGTAACCTGAAGCGTATGTAACCTGAGGTACCACTGTATTGAGTCTCAGCAGGCAGCTCCCCTTGAACCTGGCGAACAATGGCTGCTTCTGGGAAGTCAAGACCCCCCGGGGCAGTCCTCCTGCTGAGAGGATAGAGCAGGGAAACTCTGCCCTGCCCTGTGGGCCAGATCTTTATTGTATTTATTTATTCGACAAAACGTGCATACTGCTTGATGGTGTTAGTGGTGAGCCCTCTGAATGGTTTACAACAATATAAAATAAAACATGGGGAAATTATCAATGAAAGTCCAGTTTAAAAACAGGTATTTAAAGCGTTCAAAAGATGGCTAAAACCAACAGTCGCTAAAAAGAAATAAAACACATGACACTTGCCCGAACAAAAATGTTTTAAACAGGCACCAGAAAGAATACAGCAATGGCACTTGCCTGGTGTCCCCAGGCAGGGAGTTCTAAAGTGTGGGTGATGCGCACTCAGAGATGGATTTCTTACAAATGCAGAAGGGGCAGTAGGTGATGCGTTTAAAGATACCAGTTCTGCAGATCGAAGTGGTCAAGCGGGTATATACTATCCTGCATCCTGCGGGCCCTTTGGCAACCTTGAGAGGTGGGTGGCACAACCCACCTGTCAATCACCAGACTAGTGGATTGCCTCGCCCACATGTCAAAATTCATTGCGCAACACTTTCCAGGCGCTTGAGAACCGCAGCGTGAGAGGCTTTCCTGCTCCTGGAGCACCAAGCAGTTTGCACTAAAGGTAAAGGTAAAGGGACCCCTGACCATTAGGTCCAGTCGTGGCCAACTCTGGGGTTGCAACTCTCATCTCACTTTATTGGCTGAGAGGGCCAGCATACAGCTTCTGTATCATGTGGCCACCATGACTAAGCTGCTTCTGGCAAACCAGAGCAGCGCACGTAAACACTGTTTACCTTCCTGCCAGAGCAGTACCTATTTATCTACTTGCACTTTGACATGCTTTCGAACTGCTAGGTTGGCAGGAGCAGGGACCGAGCAATGGGAGCTCACCCCATCGCGGAGATTCAAACCGCCAACCTTCTGATCAGCATGTCCTAGGCTCTGTGCTTTAACCCACAGTGCCACCCAAAACCGTTGCCAAAACAGTGGGGAGACTTGCAGGACGTCAAGCTCCTGACTATTCCTTCATAGTCATATTTGTACCTGCCCCAGGCCTGAACCCCACATACGATATCAGTTGTGGGGTGGGTGGGTATGATTTAGGGGGAAAGGCCCAGTGGGCCAAATGGGGAGGCATGGTGGGCCAAGCTGCCTAGCTCAGCTGGTTAGAGCATGGTCTGATTGCGCCAAGGTCATGAGTTTGATCCACATACAGACCCCCTGCATTGCCCGGGCTTGGACTAGATTACTCTTGGAGTCCCTTCAAACTCTGTGCTTCTATGATTCTATTATTCCAAGTCTGGCCGTGGGCCAGAGGTTTCCCCAACCCTGTTATAGAGGCTAACAGGAGAGTCATCTCATGCATGAGTTTCATTTATTTATTGATATGCAGCATTGATGATGGTGGTGGTGGTGGTGGTGATTAATTGAATTTACCGGTATATACTGCCCTATACCCGCAGGTCTGAGGGTGGATCATAGAATATAAAACCACAAAGCACATGATCAAAATAAAAACAACAACCCAATAACTCCCCCCTAAACACATTTTGGTGGGATGCGGGTGGTGCTGTGTGTTAAACCACGGAGCCTAGGACTTGCCGATCAGAAGGTTGGCGGTTCGAATCCCCGCCACGGGGTGAGCTCCCGTTGCTCGGTCCCTGCTCCTGCCAACCTAGAAGTTCGAAAGCACCTCAAAGTGCAAGTAGATAAATAGGTACCGCTCCGGCGGGAAGGTAAACAGCATTTTCGTACGCTGCTCTGTTTCGCCAGAAGCGGCTTAGTCATGCTGGCCACATGACCCGGAAGCTGTACGCCGGCTCCCTCAGCCAATAAAGCGAGATGAGCGCCGCAACCCCAGAGTCGGTCACGAGTGGACCTAATGGTCAGGGGTCCCTTGACCTTTTACTAAACACATTTTAGAAGGGCATAGGATGTCAATCAAATCAACCAAAGGCCTGGTTGAAGAGAAATGTTTTTGCCCGGCGCCTAACGGTATATAATGAAGGTGCCAGGTGAACATCCCTAGGGAGAGCATTCCACAGACGGGGAGCCACTGCAGAGAAGGCCCGTTCTTGTGCTGCCACTCTCTGGACCTCCTGAGGAGGAAGCACATGAATGAGGGCCTCAGAAGATGATCTCAGGGTCCGGGTAGGTTCATATGGAAAGAGGCGGTCCTTGAGGTATTGCGGTCCTGAACCGTTTAATGCATTATAGGTCAACAAGTCCTCTTGACAGTTTAATAAAGCAACACAACAGTGTGTCAATATCGCATCAAACAAAAAGTATATTAAAGCAATGCAACAACAGCAACAAAGACGGAACACCAAGTAGTCAGTCTAAGAAAGGTCAAAGCCTCCTGTCAAGCAGCCTGTAAACTTAAAAAATAAAACACTACTTGCTCTTGAAGATTGGAATGGAGACAGAAGGTCCTTTGTTTGGTGCTTTGAGGTTGCAAAATATCACAGGGAACAGGGGAGGATGAGAGCACAGTAAAGCAGTGTCTTTGAAGATTGCCACGCTGACATTGGCTGCGTGTGAACCATGCATTTAAAACACACGGCGTCCCCCAAAGAATCCTGGGAGCACTTCGTTTACCCAGAGCTACGGTTCCCAGCACTCTTAGCAAACCATTGTTTCCTGGATTCTTTGGGCGAAGCTGTGACAGCCGAAGTGGTAAAGTGAACGTTAAGAGGAACGTCTAATGCTAAGAGCAGTTCAAACAGTGGTGCGTGTTACCTTTGAGCAGTGGGAGCTCTGAGCTGTCGAGGTCAGGAAAGGCTCACCTGGTGGAGCATAAGAACTACGACGCTTGCTTCCTGGCAGATGTGTCTCAACTGCTTACCGGGAGGGAGAGGGTGAAGCAGTGAGGCCAATGCAGGGCGGTTCCACTGGTGGACATTCTGGATTGCCTCAGCTGGTGCATCTGCATTGTACCGATTACTCTGCCTCCTCACCCCTCTCCTTTCTGGTAAACAGTAGTGACACACCTGACAGGAAGCTAGTATTAGGGCTCTGCTCTGTCAGGTGAGCCGCTTCTAAGTTCAAGATGTGGAAGTCTTCCATCAGAGGCTGGACAGCCATCCGCTGGCGATGCTCTACTTCAGCCCTTCCCAACCTTGGGTCCCCAGATGTTGTTGGACTACAACTCCCATCAGCCCTAGCTAGAGGGGCCAGAGGTCAGGGATGATGTAGTCCAACATCAATGTGAGACACACAGTTGCTGTAGCTTTCTTGCATCAAGAAGCAGGTTGGATTCGATGTTTTCTGCATACTAGGATAATCCAGATTAAAAGTTTGTGTTTCAGAAATCTCTCTCTCTTTTTAAAGTGCAATAGTTAATTGAAACCAGGGAACATTTTATTATTTATTCCACTGCTCTAATAAGCATGCTATCTTCAAAGCTGTTTTTTCCATTCCAATATCTAGGAAGCAGTGGACAGCTTCTCAAGACGGCTGCCTTTGACATGTATTCTGGAGGTAGGTCAACCACAGAGTGCCAACCACAGAGTTGACTATATTGACTGCAGAGTGCCAACCGGCAGAAAGAATGGACCAGCTCTGAGTGGGTGAAAGAGCTGAAAGAAAGAATTTGTGTCTTTCTCATAGGAAAAGGGAAGAAATTAGGTTCTGTTTGCGTTCAGAGGTGAAGCTTCCTCGTTTGCACTTTTTGGAATAATATGCACAACGAAACACAGCCGTTCTTCCAAATTTGCAGTGCTGAGGATTCTGCAATGTAGTCCTTCAGCCAAGCAATGTGCAGCACACATATGCTAGGGTGTAAAGAGCAGGTGCTTGTGAAAATAACATACAAAAAAATGTGCATATTGACTGATGAATCGATGGAAGCAAAACCTAGCCTTCTCTGCACTGAAACTACCGAACTTAAAGACACCTGGGTCTCACTGGAACGTGGCATTCCTGGCCAACTTAAGGCCTTTATAACTGTTGCCATCAAGCAGAGAGGATTCTTTAAGATGGAGATACAGTGGTACCTCGGGTTAAGAACTTAATTTGTTCTGGAGGTCCATTCTTAACCTGAAACTGTTCTTAACCTAAGGTACCACTTTAGCTAATGGTGCCTCCCACTACCACCACACCACTACCGCACGATTTCTGTTCTCATCCTGAAGCAAAGTTCTTAACCTGAGGTACTATTTCTGGGTTAGTGGAGTCTGTAACCTAAAGCGTCTGTAACCTGAAGCGTCTGTAACCCGAGGTACCACTGTACCGTTTTTTCAGGTTTTCTTTTCCTTTCAGGCAGCTGATGTGACCCAAAGCATAGCATAAGGACCCTTTTTGCATGACATATGGTATATAACACACACACACACACACACACACACACACACATATATATATATAATTGTTAAAGTTTGGGAGGCAGCATGGTATAGTGGTTAGAATGTAGGACTAGGACTGAGGAGACACAAGTTCATATCTCCACTCAGCCATGGGCCAGTTGCAGGTCTCTCATCCCAACCAACCTTACAGGGTTGTTGGAGTCATTAAATGGGGCAGCAAGGAAAACCATGGAGCCCAGTTTGAGCTCCTTGGGCGTAATGTGGGGTATAAATGTGGTAATGATAATGATTCTATGTGGGACTTCCTTTTCTTTAAGAACCTCTGAAAAATAGTGTTCTCTCTTTCTTAATCTGCAGTAGGTTCTGGAGTGTGTGTGTGTGTGTGTGTGTGTGTGTGTGTGTGTGTGTGTGTGTGTATGTGTGTACTGAATCATCTCAGAAAGCACCATATATATGTGCAGTCCTTGTTGGTGTTACCTATTCAATGTCTCCTTATTCTGCATGTATCTTGAGAGACCACCAGATGGCAGGATAAGAAAAGAGCAAGCCTCACAATTTCTCTTTGATTTCCCTGTTAGATGTCAAGCATCTCTTGGATTTCCTGAAAGCAATTAGCGCAGGTACCATCGTGCTCGTAGCTTCCTATGATGACCCAGCAACAAAGTGAGTGAACTACCGATGTGTGTGGCTTGGATTTCTGGGGTCTTTGGTGTATAACTCCTATACTGCCAGCTGAGCTCTTCAACTGAGAGATCCCGATTTCCAAATCTCCCTGCAAATCCATTTGATGGCCTCAGAAAATCACTGGCCTGTTGCTCTTCATCTCATCTGGATCGGTCATTTTGCTGCTGTTTTCCCCCCACCATTCTTATTTTGTCCAAAAAAAAGTCTTAGGTGTTTTAAGCTTTGTACACCTCTTTGGATAGCGACGCGGGTGGCGCTGTGGGTTAAACCACAGAGCCTAGGACTTGCCGATCAGAAGGTTGGCGGTTCGAATCCCCATGACGGGGTGAGCTCCCGTTGCTCTGTCCCTGCTCCTGCCAACCTAGCAGTTCGAAAGCACGTCAAAGTGCAAGTAGATAAATAGGTACCACTCCGGCGTGAAGGTAAACGGCGTTTCCATGCGCTGCTCTGGTTCTCCAGAAGCGGCTTAGTCATGCTAGCCACATGTACGCCAGCTCCCTCGGCCAATAAAGCAAGATGAGTGCCGCAACCCCACAGTCGGTCACGACTGGACCTAATGGTCAAGGGTCCCTTTACCTTTACACCTCTTTGGAATTTTAAAGGGAATGCAAGGTATAACAAATGAATAAATATTCCCCGTCTCTCCAGGCTGAACGATGAAGCACGGAAGTTGTTTGCTGAACTGGGAAGCAGCCACGCTAGCAAGCTGGGGTTTCGAGACAACTGGGTGTTTCTTGGAGGGAAGGGGCTCAAAAACAAAAGCCCCTTTGAGCAGGTACCTTCTTGTGAACAGCGGCTGCAATCCGAATAGGCACCTGTGACTATACTGCTTGTATGTTTATCTTTTAAGGATTGGTTTATTAAGCAGACATTTGTGAACCTTCCTTCTCTCACGACAATCTCTGCAGAGAAGCAACCCGCACAGTACAGGAAGTGAGCTCCTTCCTTCTCCTGATGGTCACGTGTTTTCCCATAGGATGCCTGCCTCTCCTTCCTGCCTGATGCCCCGCCCCCTGACAGCAACAGATCACTCTGGCCCATTGAACCCAATCTGGGGCTGTCTTTCCCTGGCTCATCCAATTCTTGAGTTCCTCCAAAAATGCCCCATTTGGCTCTCAAACTTAATCTGTTCCAGAAGTCCATTCCAAAACCAAAGCGTTCCAAAACCAAGGCGCGCTTTCCCATAGAAAGTAATGCAAAATGGATTAATCCGTTCCAGACTTTTAGAAATAACCCCCAAAACAGCCATTTAACATGAATTTTACTATCTAACCAGACCATTGATTCATAAAATGAAAGCAATAAACAATGTACTGCAGTCAAGCAAGCAAGCAATCAGTAGCTGAACTGGGTTCTTCCACACAGTCACAAAAACAAAACAGAAAGAGCCACAAAAAACAAAAATGCAAAATAAATAGCAAAAACAAACAGACCTCAGCATAACACTCAAATTGGAAGCGTAACACTCAAAACGGAGCACGTTTGGCTTCCAAAAAAAGTTTGCAAACCAGAACATTTACTTCCAGGTTTGCAATGTTTGGGTTCCAAGTTGTTTGAGTACCAAGGCGCTTGAGAATCAAGGTACCACTGTAGTGGTCATTATAACCTCCTGCACATCCACTGCACCAATTTGAACATGAGCTATTTGTGGAGCAGATTGGGTCAGCAGCTGCTTGAGAGAAAACCTGGTGAGAGAGATGCGGCCATTTGGCACCTTCTCATTGATGCCCCTCTGAGGTGCTGCATTTTGGACAGGTAGCACGGCAGCCATTTATTCTGAAGCAGAGGGTGTTCTGAACCATCCTCCTTCATATTCCAAATGGACAAATCATTCTGCATGTACACACACTGCTAATTATACAAGTATTCAGTCTTCATTCCTATTCTGCCATATGTCAACCTCACTATAACCTGGCACTGTTAAAAACTGTTCTAGGATATGGTGAGTAGGGATAGGGCAGAAACTTGATTTTGTTTGCATTTTTATGAGAAACTAACTAATTCACACTTCTCGAACCTATATGTAAACTGAATCACAGCTATCCTTCAAAATTCACCCTTCTCCGAATTTTGCAATGCAGCTCTCCAGTATATTTTTTTATTTAAAAAAAACCTACAGAAATGCATTTATTTCAGGGAAAGGGTGCATAAAAATGTTTGTGGAAATAACATATAAAGATGCATCATATTCTGGGCAATCATATATATATATATAAAGAGAGAGAGAGAGAGAGAGAGACTACATATCAAAAAAAGCGTTTATTAGGAGAACTTAGCACTAAATGCTGGTGAAATTTCATGAGGATTTCTTTTAAATCATAATACTAATCACAAATTGACGCAGAGATGTGAAGGACTGAATTTAAGTTTGGAGAAACAAGAAACAGAGAGAAACCCAAACTGGCTGATTTGCCTATACTTAGTCACAAGTCAACTTGTGATGCAAGGAAAAATATAGTGGACATGAAGGACGGAGCCTACAGGGAGAATGGTGGCCAAAAGCTACTCCATTTCTCTTAAGTTAGGGTGGAAATTACAGGGATACAGGTTTTGGCAATACATTAGGATAAGCTTCCTTAACGGTATGAACACTTGGGCAGTTGGGCAAACTGCCTCAGGCGGTAGTTTGGAGCAGGCTGGGGAGGATGGGGCTGGGTCACTGCAAGTGACAGTCGAGAACACAAGTCTGTTGCACAGAGCAGAGCCTACACAACTTCGCACCTCTCTTTGGCAGTTTCTATTCCCATATTCCTAGATTAATGCTAAATTTGACAAACAACAGCATGGAAGTGCCCTGAAAGGGTTGGAGGGGGGAGGACTTACTTGCATGCGGAAAGTCCCAGGTTTAACCCTCAACATCTCCAGTTAAAGGATCTTTTTGGGAAGCAGGAATGAGGAAGACCTGCTCTGCCAGTGAGAATAGAAACACAATAGTACCTTGGTTTAAGAACAGCTTAGTTTACGAACAAATTGGATTAAGAACGCTGCAAACCCGGAAGTAGGTGTTTTGGTTTGTGAACTTTGCCATGGAAGCAGAACATGTTCCGCTTCCTGTTGAGTGTGTTCCATTTGTAAATTGAGTCCCCCGCTGCTATGGGAAAGCATGCTTTGGTTTAAGAATGCTTTGGTTTAAGAACAGACTTCCGGAACGAATTAAGTTCATAAATCAAGGTACCACTGTATGGAGGTTGACAGACCAATGGTTCGATTCAGTATAAGGCATAGCCATATGTGTAGCTCTCCAGCAGTTGACAATCATATGCAAAAAGCGTAAAGGAGAATTCTTATGTACCAAGCTCATTGCGTATAGTTGACGGACTCTCTCCATTTTACTTTCCACAGCACCTAAAAAATGATAAGGAGAAAAACAAGTATGACGGCTGGCCTGAGCTTCTGGAAATGGAGGGCTGTGTACCTAAGAAGATGGAATGACAATGAGCTAAATTCAGAACAGATACCGGTGGCCCCCAGCTGACTGACTTTTCACTTTGCCTCAGATATGGTGGAACCAATTCGAACAGACTCAACCCTCTGCCCTGTGGTATTTTGAACACAGAGTGCTCTCTGCCATCCTTCATTTCAGCGCAGGGCCAGCAGGATTTCAGTGCACTGTTGTGTTGCATTAATAATAGATTCTACGGAGGTGAAGAAGTGGATCTGTGAAAGGTATTCAGCAATCAGTTTATGTAATGTCTTTGGAATCAGGTGGGAAGCCAGGACCCTCAAACAGCAACAGCAAACAGCTTGAGAAGAGTTGTTTGAACTGAAGACACACATAATATTTACACACAAGTATGTATATTTATAGAGAGAGAGTCCTCTGCACTGTGGATATGCAGTGAGGCCTGTTTTGATATTAAGTTCTACCTCTAGGGTTGCCATATTCCTAAAAGTGAAAATCCTGGCAAAGTTGTTGAGCATTTTTATTGGGGGGGGCGCAACAGTTGAGCTTTTGGGGGGAACATATCCCCCAAGAAATAAGGTTTTGGGGCTTTTTTTGGATCTTTAAAGCATTAAAAAAGAACCACCCTGCTTGCCATACATCCGGCTTTCCCCAGACGTTTTGCAAATTCATAACTTGGACATATGTCAGCCCTATCTACCTCTACCATAGCAGCAAATCAAAAGTTGGATAGGTCTGTCAATGCATGGCGCCAGAAAACAGCACCCATGGGCCCTTAGCTCACTGGCAGGGCTTCTCACTAATGCCTGTCCCTAGCCCCCTTTTAAAACTGGTAATCCAGTCAGTGTCAGGTGGCGGCCATTTTGTTTTCCCATAGTGCCCCAAAGCAGCACAACACCAGGGGCAGTGTGGGATATGGAATTGGCAGCTGCCACCCAAGGAGCCAAGTGCGACTGCTGCTGCCACAGCCCGCAGCCAGGTGAGCCTTAAAAGGCACTTGGCTGAGGGCTCCCTCAAACATGGAGCTTTTGCCCTGCCAGTCGCTGTTGCTGCTGCTGCTGCTGTCATTTCTTTGGCTCAGAAACAAAGCACACACACCCCACACACAACGGCATGGTCGCGCAGCTTCCACCACAGCCCCCTGGGCATAGGTTCCTTTGTTTCAAAGCAGTGATTTATTTATTTATTATTTATTGAATATCCCACTGTTTCTCCGCAATGAGCCCAGGGCAGCAACAGATACACAATTATTATTTTTTTAAGGAAAATGTTTTGAAACAATATTAAAACACACACAAATTACAGTTTTAAAACATTCTAAAAGCAGTTGTGATTAAAGACATACTTCCACCCAAGTTGCCAGGAAGACTGTTCTTCAGACACCCAACTCCTGAGCAAACAATTACACCAGGAAATCGCATCATTATTGGACTCTGGGTTCTCCCTGACATTCTCTTAACAGAATTTGCTAGATTGATGCATAATAAAAAAAATTATTATTATGTCAAAGAGAAAAATAACTATCAAACTTTTAGAAGACATCTGAAGGCAGCCCTGTTTAGGGAAGCTTTTAATATTTAAGAGGTTATTGTATTTTAGTGTTTTGTTGGAAGCTGCCCAGAGTGGCTGGGGAAACCCAGCCAGATGGGCGGGGTATAAATAATAAATAATAATAATAATAACAAACAGGAGTTTCAAATTCATGTTAATAGTGATGAAAACAGGTGTACCTCACTAGTGAGGGCATTCCACATCCGGGAAGCCACCACCGAAAGGGCCCTGCCATGGGTCAGCGCCAACCAGGCAGCCTTCAATGGCAGCACAACCAACAAGGCCTCAGTGATACTGGGTTGTGTCCAATGTGAGTCCCACTCAAAGCAGGCCCAATGAAATTAATGTACATTAATAGAAATTAATATAGTCTATTAATCTCCGTGAATCTACTCTGAAGGTAGGACTTGTATTAGATACAATACTGTGTGGGTAAGTGAGCAGGGAAGGGAGAAGGCTGTCTTATCAGCATTTGGTTCCCTGATAGGCCATATTGCCAGATATTATATAAACATGGGGATCTGAGAAGACTGAGCTCTCTGTATGGTATGTGTGTCTTCAGTCTTCATGTAGTTCGTTCATTATACGGTTAAATCACTCCAATTTTTGGGTTGTTGCTTAACAACAAGAGTAAGTCCTTTTTATAATTTTAGTTTTTCTTGTGTTTAGCGTTGCTATGAAATGTTTGTTCTGTTATACCCTCCTTTCATAAAATCCTTCATTTGTTTGTCTAGATTTACAACTAGTGGTATTGCTGGTAATTTCTGCTTCTTCCATGCGTTCGTTTACATTAGCAGAAGGGGGGACTTGAGGCCCTCTAGCTGTTATTAGACTCCCATTCCCATCAGTTCCTGGCACTTGGGTTAGTGATGAGCAGGTAAGAGGAGTTGTTGCCCAGCAACAGCTAGAGGGCCATAGGTAGCCCTGCCCCTTGCAGTAGTAGCACAAGCCTGCAGCAGCTGGGCCTGACCAAGCCAAGATGAGCCCATCCTCTTTCTGTGGTGGCCAGGGCCGGCCCACTCATGAGGCAGCCGCCTCCGGCGGCAAGATTCATAGGAGCTGTGCCTCCACCACTACCATGATGGTGTCAGGAGCTTGGTCTATACACGAGTAGGACCCTGGTAGAGACACATGCCCGACTGGCATGTTCCCTCCCTCCTGGTCGATCGTTCGGGAGCTTTCTTCTGCCCGAACATCACAGTGACCGATGCCAACAGACATCGGCACACTTAGGGCTCCGCAGAGTTTGTGCATCTTGCATGACAGACCTCAGCAACTCAGCATTTCGGCTAATCTACTTTATTTACATATAAACAGACACGGAGCACTGCAACATGGCTCCCTCTCTCTCTAGCATCAGACAGCAAAGAGAAAAAGAACAAAGGACAATAGTCCCACTTCACGGAACACAGTTACACAAACATCCTGTCTTCGTCACTTCCCACTCTATGGAGTCAAAACATACACCGTCATGTGAAAGACAAAAATCCCATGACTGCAATCATGGAGCAGGAGTTCTAAAAGATGGCAGTGATGATGATGATAATGATACCCTGCCTATCTGACTAGGTTGCCCCAGACGCTCTGGGTAGCTTCCAACAAAATATGCTGTGATGGTTTTGAGGCGCTGTTTGAAGGCCGGATCTGCCTCCTCCTCAGCAGCTCCCCACAGTGCCACCTTTACAGCTGCTGCTGGGCTCCTCTCTCCCCTTCTTCCCTGGCGTGGGGGGAGGCTGCCATTTTGTGGTTCACCTCAGGTATCCAAATGTCTTGGGCCGGCCATGGTGCCATCTCAGCAAGGGGGTTGATGAGCCTCGGGTGATTTATTGTTTTATTGCTGACCTGCGCCTGACAGGCCCACACCGCTGCAAGGGGGCCACTTCCAATCCCTGAAGCCTCCTGGTCCTTCTCCTACTCATCCTTGTTGCCTGTTTACTCGGACTACCCCTCTGCATAGGCAAGGACAAGGAAGAATAGCCTGTGCATCCTTTGGCTTCTGCCTCTGGAAGTGATGCTGAGTCGAGCAAATAGGCAGTGGCCATCATAGCAACCACTCTGAAGACCTAAAAAAATATATCAAGTGGTAAATACATTTTATGAAATAAATAAAGCAAAAAATAAGGAAGAGGAAGAGGTGCTGGCACTCCAGCGGGAGGCAGGGGAGAAATGGGAGCATCTTGCCCCCAAAGACCTTTGAAAATTGGATCCAGCAAGGACAGCGGGAATACGTTTGAAACCAGGGGTGGGATTAAACTAAGTTGCTATGAGCACAAAATGAGGCCTTCTTGTGCAACAGGAATTTCCCTCCCCCAACCCCCCACTGGCAGCCTTCTACATTTGCTCTGGGATATTGACGGAAACCTCAGGACTGTTTTGGGGGCACATGGGCGTACGGGAGGAAAAGAAGGGGGGAAGCCCCATTGTGCAATCCTCACGCATATACCCCACTCCAGTTCCTTTTGCTGACAAGGTAGACCTGTTCCTTGGGTTTGTTGACGTGGGTGTGCCTGAAATATATTTTGGCAAAGGTTTGAGCTATTGCAGGTGTTCGTTTCTGCGAGTTTTCCTTGAGACAGCAGCATCAAACAAAGCTCTGGCTGTACACCTACTTCTGCCTCACGGCCATAGACTGCTTCTGTGGAAATAACTAAAGTGACTTGGAACTGGATTGAATGCTCTGTGACGAATATTCCTATCCTCCGCACCGAAGATAAAAAGAATTCTACTACGCTGTGGTGGCAATCGTTCAGCGACGACACAGTTTTATCTTCTAGCCAGCAGGTGGAAATCTTCCCTTTATAAAGGAATAGGAGCAGAAAAAAATGTTAGGCCTTGTCGTTGGTGAATAGAAATTTCTCTTTAAAAAAAAGTCACTAGCCTTCTTGCCCAAGACAGCATAGGTTAAAGAACAGAAGCTCATTCAAAAGGGTTTGAGGAATTGAAGCCCTGTGAGGAGTAAACTACAGTCTCCAAGTTTCTTTGGATCCTCTATGGTGTGGTTGTGCTAGAGGTTTTAGTTTCACTGCCTCCTTCCATAACACGCAGCCCACTTCTGAAGGGGAGGCCATTCGCTGTGCCTCATATATATATATATAATTAATTTCAACATATCAATTATTATACATTCCACAGAACTTCACATCTTATACAATCTTTTTGGACTTCCATCAGCACCTCTGATGATCCACCATTTTTATCATTTCTTCTGCATTTCTTAAATTCCTATTGCCTTTAATTATCTTAACTCACAATCCACCTCTTTAACTATTTTTGAAATAATTCAAATAATTTACCCGCTTTGCCTCTTGTTTTGATTGGGACAAGAGAAAAGCACTTCCCAGTGGCTGCACCTGAATTATGAAATCCCTTTGCCCCATGAATTACCACCAGCCTATTCCCTTGGTTGCTAAAGACTATTTTATTCTGACAGGCTTTCATTGTATGTAACCGATGTTTTTTTCGGTGCTGTTCTTGGCTCCCTGATTTTGGCATCGTTGTTTCTGCAAAACTGCAATTAATCCACCTTTGCTGCTCCTTCTGTACCATGAAGTTCAGATATACATGTTTTTAAAACTAGCATTCAAAAAATAGATTAAGGGTAGCCAAGGAGGTGCCTCCCATACTTTCTGACCATTAGCCACAGCAGCTGGGGATGATAGGCGCTGTTGGCCTCTATCTGCCTTGAGGGACAATGGAGTGCGCCTTCTGGGGTCAAGTCAAACCACTGTGTTAGCTGTACCGAAGACAATACATAGGACTGTCCCACTGAAACAGCACAGAACCACATTTAAGTAGAGGGCTGTGCCTGTCCGCTCAGGGCTGATTTGCTCCCTGGTTATGGCTTGCTGCCTTCACATTATGCAACGTCATGGTTTAAGCTTCTTCTCTGTGGGCAGCAGCAAGAATTTGGGGGGTGCGGGGTGGGGAGAGAGTTCAGGGACCGGCTGGCTGTTCCTGATCTCAGTGGCGCAGAAGGCTTGATCCCAGCAGGAACCCGCCACCTTGTTCCTCCAGAAGCGGGTCTCCGTGTGCTCCTTTCCCAAAGCTCTCTCACCAAAGCTTCATTGAGGTAAGAAGGCCGTGGGGATACGGATAGAGGAAGAGAAGAAGACCGGGTGGCACAAAACCTCTAGGCAAGGAAGGATCTCAGACTGCTGAGGCCCAGCTGTGCTGCGCAGGTTGAATTCCTTCTCAGCTTGGCTCTGCGTTCTGTGACATCTTACTGTGTCAAGTCTGATTACTCTAATCTTCTACAGGCTTTCCCCCCACCACCACAAGAAGGGACTCTGCTTAGAAGCTGGGCACTGACAGCATGAAAGCGGCCTTTGTGTGTAGCCCCTGGCAGTCGTTAGGTATATAAGGGGGAGAGGGAAGGGGGGAATGAATTCTTGACATGCCAGGGGAAGCCATCAAGGGAAAACTTTTCTGCTCATCACCTTGAAGAGCCTGCTGTCCCTGATGCTCCTCTGCCCCTCTTACTCGGAGAGTAGAATGGGAGTGCAAGGAGCTGCGCGCCACCAGCCCTTTCTCCAGCGCAGGGTGCAGAAGGTGTCTGTCCGCACATAGCGGCAGGCACAGCGGGGCAGAATAAGAAAGATCCGTTTCTCAAAAGGGGGCCAGTGTTGTGCCTTTTCTCTGACACGCATTGCCAAAGCCAGGAGAGTTAAATCGAAACCGCTGCAGGGAACGGCACTGAACTCCTTAAAATCATGGGAGCTGCTCATGGGAAAAAGGTAATGCTTTTTTGCTATGTGTTTCCGCTTTGGATGAGAAGGCACTGCCTAGCTAGCCATTACTGGAATTGACCAGCTGAGATGGATGTATCGGGGTAGCTTACGTGCCAAACTGGATGTTATTTTGATTGCACAGAAGAAAGGGAATAATAATAATAATAATAATAATTGCAGGTGCAAAGGAGGTGGCTGTCATCAGGTTCACGAAGAGGAGAGGTTTGTCCCTTCCCTCTCCTCCGCAAGAGTGACCCAGATGAATATCCCTCCCTGCACCTGCCCCACACAGCACATCTATGAAGCTTAGGGTGAAAGCTCCCATTTGTACCAAAGAGAGCATTCCTTCCCCCAAGACGCCTGGTCCTGGAGGGGGGATTTTGTTTGGATCATGGTTGGAGGGGGTCAGGATAAGGCTCCCCTCCCTGGGTGCTGCAGTCCTGTCCTGATAGCACCACCCGCCTCCACACATGTACTTAAAGAAAAGGCACAAATAATAGAATCATAGAGTTGGAAGGGGACCCAGCGGTCATCTAGTCCAACCCCCTGCAATGCAGGAATACACAGCTGTCCCACATGGGGATTGAACCTGAAACCTTGGCATTGTCAGTGCCATGCTCTAACCAACTGAGCTATCCAGACCATAAGTGTAACATGTAGCGTGGCTTTAAGAAGCAGCCACTCTGTGGAATCTGGTCCCACCTAGGACCCCTCCGGACATTCCTTTTTATTGTACATCCATGATTATTTGTGCTCATGATGGGATCGGGGCAGTTGTACGTGATCCTGCTTTCAATGCTGCTTGTGCCATCAAAAGATTTGGGGAAGATATACTGCTTTGCTTCCAGTTGGTGCATGTTCCATAACTTCCTTCTGAAGTTCTGTAACTTTGCATACCACAGTTTATGTTCCAGTTTATTTATTGTCCCATGATTGCTACACTACAGAGTGCCCTCCAGATGGCAATAGTGGTACAACATTGGGGAAGCATCACAGAAAATGGTGTGTGG